AATCACTAGCTTAATTCAGAAACCATTTAAAGTTTTTTAAAAGAAGATATCTTTATAAAGTTTTAGGGTTTTTTTTTTAAATTTGAAAACATTGTCTTTTAATAATAATGTTTTAATATTTGGGTTTTTTGCATGTGTGTTCTTTTAGTAATAGTTATGTTGTATGATCCAGTGTTAATGGTCATAAAATCAGGAACCAGGCTACCTGTACTTTAATTCTGTCTCCGCACTGTATACTCTCTAAAAGCTGCTAAAGTGCTTCTTTGCTTTAATTTGTTAAATCTGTAAGTGGAGATTTTAATGGTCGTTGTTTCATCTGGGTGGTGTAGAACAGTATGTAGCATTTAATAGTAACTACTGCAACAGTAGCATTATTATTCATGGCTGTTTATTTATTGCCAGGGCCTCAGTCTTGTAAAGTATGTATGTATTTTACCATCGAATTACAGCTGTAGTCCTGTGGCTGGGGTTTTTGTTTTGTTGTTGTTGTTGTTTGAGATAGTCTCACCATGTGGCTCTGACCGGCATGAGGTACTTAAGTATGAATGTTTTTCTACCAAAATTTCCCAAGATAGATAATATATCTTACAAAAATATTTTCTTACCAATTGTTCAAAAATAGAAATCCTGCTAAATACCACGAAAGCTGCTGGTACTGTGATTTTTAGTTTTCTTCTTTCTGTTTGTTAGGTTAATTTTAAGCACAGCTATGAAAGAGATTCCTAAAGAATAATGCCTTCCTCCCTTACACACCAAGCTTTCTCAGTTTTGGAAGCATGTTTTATTATTCATCTTTAAATCACCCAATCCTAAATTTGCCTTATGCTACATTGGTGGGCAGGAGTTAAGTGCATTTGCACATACTTTTTAGGTAGCTGATCATATAGAAATCTTTTTAGGGTCCTAACAGGTGTGATCTTTGGAAGTAATTGTCTAACCTATCTTCTATTTCTTTGAAGCACTGTGAAGTTTTATCTTTGGTTTTATATAAAATAATGACATTATTTTTAAAAAAGCTAGATACCTAAACAATTTGTTGGCTGCTACAATTAACTCAGTATGGTCTAGTATTTTTGGAGAAGAATAAGTAATATACTCTTTCTGTCATACTTACTTAGTTGTGTTCTTTTAGTTGTGTACTGTAGCACATGGAAGAGAACTCTGCAAATATGTGTGTGGTCATTTTAAATTATTTTTACTTTATTTTATGTATGAGTGCTTGATTCTGCTTGTATTCCTGCATGCCAGAAAAGGGCATTAGATTATAGTATAGATGGTTTTGAGGCACCATGTGGTTGTTGGGAATTGAACTTAGGACTTATGACAGAGCAGACAATGCTCTTTATCTGCTGAGCCATCTCTCTATCCCCTTACATGTGTATTCATTGTTCTCTTACATAATGCCATTTTTGTGCCTCTTACACAGTTTTTTGGGCCATGTTGTCCTTTATTACATATATATGCTGGACATAACAGGAAATGACACTTTTGCTTTAACCCTCTATAGAGATGCTGTTTTGTTCAAATCATTTGTGTTTTTGCCCTTGTGTTTTTGACTGAAGAATACATTGTACAGCCATCTGAGTAATATGTGTACATAGAAAAGTGGCTGTGAAATGAAGCAGTGAGAGGGTGCTGTTATATGATAAAGATAACTATGTCAGTTAGATAGCCTTACCTCTTAAAGTACACCTCTAGATGAATTCAGGTTTAATTCTAAGTGCTAAATTTAAAGTGTTTTTAGAAGAAAAGAGTGGTGCATCTTCATGATTGATGAGGACAATAAAAAGGCACTAATACTGAAAGAAAAAATGAAACTTATCAAATGATGGTGCTGAACTTAATGAAAACAGTCACAGAGTAGAAGATATTTGCCGTACCTGCATCCAGCACAGGACTAATGCCTGGAATATATCAACCCTTGAAATCCATACCAAAAACAAACAAAACCCAGAACACAAGATTTTTTTATAGGCGCTTCACAAGAGTACATTGAAATGACCATTAATTGAATGAAAAGATAACCACCTTATGTAGCTCCCAGAAAAATTGAAACTCCACTGATACACACACACTAAAATGCTTAATGAAAGTCAGTTTGTACTAAGCATTGGTGAAAGAGAAGCAAGCAGGGAGTTCCTCGCATACATTGCTTATGAGAATATAAATTGGTGTTACTGCTTGGAACATTTCCTTTTTCTTGGAGACAGCATACTTCTTGGTTGCTTTGGCTGATCTCACATTTGGGAATCTTCATGCATCAGTCTTCTGAGTGCTGGACTTAGAGTGTGTCACTCTACTTACATGACATTTTTATGATGATAAAGGTAAATATATTCTTGTCTTCTGACTGAGCATTATATGTCTGTCAACAAAGACCAGTTATACCAAAACAACTGAAATTACATTGATAAAAGATGGATAAATTACAACATATTTACAGATGTAAACACGTTGTAGCAGTGGGGATGATCTACAGCTGTATGGAAAGCTTTATGAAACTTACCCCTATAGTATAAGGGGGGGAGGTGTAAGCCACAGAGATCATATTTCATAATTCCATTTATGTGAAGCTCAAAACTAGGAAAGAATATCATTTTGGGAAAAGTAGCTGGATGTGGTCATCATTTAGGTCCAGTTATTTCCGAGAAGTTAGCAAAGTGTGTATTCATATGTTTTATATAGTAGGTATATTATAAGAAGTTCTATTTTGAGATCTCTCCTTGTTATATCTTTGAGATTTAGATTACTCTTTTTAACTGTGGTATAAATCAGTGACAGACCACAGTTTGTGTATGATTGCCTAATGGGACTTAGCTAGCTGTAGGCGGTTTTTCCATTTTTCTGTTTGCACTGACACCATTGTATAAGAGTTTGTGGTAATTGAACCTAGGCTCTCATGCGTGTGAAATACTGATGTTCTTTGTCCAAACTTTTGTGAAGATGAGAGTGTCTCTGGCCGGTGGCCTATCTGTGGCCTGTGCTTATACTTCAACTCTGCCAAATGACATCGGCATCCTCCAGATGGCCACATATTTACCAGCTCACCAGCAGTGTGGGGTGTTCTCACTGCTTTGTATTCCTATTTCTTGTGCTAATTTATGGATATAAAAGATCATTTTCTTGATATTTCAATTTGTATTATCTGGTAACTAATATGCTTGATCTTCTTTCCATGTATTGTAGGCCACATGAATTTCCTCGAGTACTTTTCCTATTTAATTTTAGAACATAATCCACTTCCATTTCGTATTTTTATGATGGTTAGTTTTGTGTTTTTCTTGATTTATGTGCAGTTTTTAATTCTCAAACTATATATTCATGAAGATTGTTCCCCTTAGTGACTAATGCTAATTAAGATTTCAGCTATCTTAGATTGACTAGATAGTGTAGTCTTCGTAGATTTTTTTTCCCATTTTTTTTTTTTTTTTGCCAGCTGTTACTTTTCCTCACTTCACTCAAACATTCCCATCTCCCAAGAGATGAGAAGTTGGTGATACTAAAGGGAGTAAAAAAGAAATGAAAATTCAAGAGTAAAACATGGACAGTTTTATAAAATTGAAATAACTAAAACACTTGAAAATATTCTCATGAGCCTGTCTGTTTTTCTTATTTAGAAGTGCATTTTAGAGTTGTCGTTGTACAACCAAAGACCAGTTGTTTGATGTCAGTGCTGCAGGTGTTTGTCATTACATGATGAGTTGTGTATGTGAGGGTCCAACAGAGCCTCTTGTGGCTCTTTTAAGAACAAACACTGTCAGCTAGAGTCTGTGATTAGTGCTTTTAAAAGTAAATTTGTTTATTTACTTATTTATGTATCTGTGTGTGAAATCTCACACCAAGATTTCTGAAATTGATGAAATTGGGGTCTTCTGTCAATTCTAACCTGATTTAAGACTCAAGTTTCTTTACTGAATTAACAATTACTTAAAATTTTTGATTTCTCTCCTAGAAGTGTGCTTCTTATGAAATTGTTCATCTAAAGATTAATGCTAGTAGACTGTACTTTAAGACTATATTCTACTCTAATGATTAGTCAAAGTTTTTTTTAAGATTTATTCTTCTCATTTTTATTTGTATGGGTGTTTTGCCTGAATGTAAGTCTGTGTACCTTGTATATGACTGAACATGCCTATTGCCCTTGAAGATCAGAAGGATCCCTGAGACTTATAAACAGCCGTGAATTGAGCAACGAGTACTTTTAACCTGAGTCATCCTAGTAGCCACCTTAAGATTTATTCTTGTTTTTGTGTGTGAGTGTGAGTGTGTAGTGATATAAGAGGCCAGAGATATTAGAGCTTCTGAAACTGGAATTAGAAGTAGATGTGAGGCCCCGATATGATGGGGCCTTAGAGCCAGATGTGTGGCCTCTGCCAGAGCAGTACATGCTCAGAACTGCCAAGACATTTACAGTAGTACAAATTTTGTCTTTTCAATTTAAGATCTTTATAGTAGCTATGTGTTATTAGGTATATCTGAAGCTTTTACTTCTGAAACTTGTTTTTTTAATAAGAGACTCAGTGCAGTTCTGATGTGTTTTTAAAGTTGCTTTAAAGAATAGTACTAGTATGAATGCCTAGAGAAATGACTCATAGGTTAAAGCACTGGCTGCCCTTCCAGACAACTGAGGTTGGATTCCCAACATCCATGGGACAGCTCTCAACCATCTGTAACTCCAGTTCTAGAGGATATGATACCCTTTCTGGCTTTACCAGGCACGCTTTTGTTACATAGACAGTACATACAGGCAAAACACCCATACATATACAATAATAAAACAGTCTTTAAAAATTAAACTGCTGGGTGAAGTGGTATACACTTGTAATCCCAGCATTCTGGGAGGCAGAGGCAGGTGAATTTCTGTAAGTTCAAGGCCACGCTGATCTACAGAGTGAGTTCAGGACAGCCAAGGCTACACAAAAACCCTGTCTTAAAAAAACAAAACAAAATAAAATAAAGAGAATAGGGAAAACTTATTTATTTTTTCCCATTACTTTCAGCTCCATTTACCTCTTAATTCTCCTTTGCCTGGAAGTGAATTGACCAAGGAACCTTTTCGTTGGGATCAGAGACTATTTGCTTTAGTCCTGCGGTTGCCTGGTACCATGTCAGTAGAATCAGAACAGTTGACCGGTGTACCTTTGGATGATTCTGCTATCACACCAATGTGTGAAGTGACAGGAGGTAAGTTTTTGCTGGTAATTTGGGGGCTTAAAACAGTTTGAGTGTGCTAGAATGTACATTTCAAAATTTCTATGTTTGTATTTGTCAATCAACATTGACATACCTGTAGTTTTAAAACTGCATGTGTTGTTAGTGTGCGGTCTTGATAAGTCAATTGCTATAGGTCATGAATGAATTTTTTATACCTATGTAACAAATTTGTTAGGTAGGTTTTTATACCTATGAAACAAATTTGAAGTTGTTAAACAAACTTTCCTGTCTACAAAGATTACCAGTGATTTAGCTGTCTTGGTGCTGTACACTTGTAATTCCAAATATGAGGATGCAGAAGCGAGTGGATCTTTGAGTTTCAAGCTAGCCAGAGCTGGCTGCATTGTGATTCCCTGTCTCAGAATAGTAATGTTGTGGACAGCCATTAATTAATTGATTTAGAAAATATAAACAATTTTCAATCTTAATAGGAAATAAAGTTGTTAAAGATTTTTACAGAAATTGGAGAAAATGAATAAATATTTAAAAAAAATTTTTTTAATAATCTGAAATTAGCTGAAGAGAAAAAGGACCTTTTTTCTTTGCTTACAAACTGAACCTTATACTATGTAGTGTTCCTCTTATGATTATTGTGTGGGTCAATTCTCATCCCTTGTACTGTTTGATAATTTTTACCAAAGCATAAACATGTTCAGAATTGGTTCTTTTAACTGTGGGAAAATGAAGTATGTTATTGTACACCTTCATATAAGAGGCTGGCTCATTTTCAATTAGTTAGAGTCATATAGACACACACATACAAGGCCAAACTAAATACAATAAACCTGCAGTCAGCATTAGCACCCGATAAAACAGTGAAGAGTCAAAAGAACATTTCTGAGTTGGTACAAAGTTAAATTTATTTAATCTAGACAAAACTGTAAGCAATTTTTCATAAAATGCCTGTATCTTTTGAGTAGTATGTTGAATGCTTTTAATTTGCTTTCATCCTAAACCTGCTTCCAGTTTGCACAAGTGGCTTGGAACCCTGTAGCTTATCTCTCCGACTCGGAACAAATGCAGCACCTGGGAATCATCCTTGGTTTTCCTTTGAATCAGAGTACTTCTTGCCACCTTCAAATTTAGCAGCCTAGACAGATCAAAGTAGATGGTCTCTGACTGGTCTTGCTACTTCCCTTTTCCACTGGACAGTGCTGTCTGATGTATAGGAAATAGAAATCTGATCTCAAGCCCTATAAATAAGCCATAGTTATTATGGCCTGGAAGACACATAATCAGTGTTAGGTCCCTGCCTATCTCTGAGCCTGTCACACCTCCACATGTAAGCTCACAGCATCTGCTTCCACATACATTCAGTATGTACTTTTCTGTATTACTTTCTCTCTTTCCAAATTTTCTTGTGGTTCATATAAAATGAAAAATAAAATTTCAGGTTCCTGATTCAGATGTCACCTTCTCAGAAGAAACAGCAAAAATACTCATTCTTAGCCTCATCGCTGCCATCTGTGTGTTAAAATACATGCAAACACTTAACATCTGTAGTAACTGTCAGGTGACCAGCTGAGTAATTACCTCCTTTGTACTTACTATGTTTAGGGACAGTAACTTTTGTTAAGCAAGATAGGAGTTTTTGAGAATTATCATTGCTAGATGTTGTATGTATGTGTCTGTTAAAGATATTGGCTAACAGTTGGAGATAGTAGTGCTTTAAAAAGGAAGATAGGTACTTGACTTTTTCCTTTTGTGATTTGCTCAATCCAGGATTTCTATGCTCCATTTACCTTACCTTTAGTTAGAAGAAAATCTCGCCTATAATGACATTGTTAGTTGGAAATATTTTTTTTTATTTATTCTTTAAAATTGGGAAATACCAACCATTGAACTTCTATTCAAGTTGTCAGAAGGAAAAAAAAAAAAAAAACTTACTGTAGTTCTTAAAGGAGGTAGACTTAACTAGTTTACTTTTTTTCTTTTTTCTTTTCTTTTTTTTTTTTTTTTTAAATCTTAGGCCGGTCATATTCTGTATGTTCTCCAAGAATGCTTAATCAGTGTCTGGAATCCTTGGTGCAGAAAGTACAAAGTGGGGTGGTAATAAACTTCGAAAAGGCAGGACCAGATCCTTCCCCTGTAGAAGGTATTGTTTTATTATTCTTACAGTCATTTTTAGTTTGATTTATGAATTATTAAACTAGACACCCTGCCCTATGTGTGCTGTGTGTGTGCGTGCGTGCGTGCGTGCGTGTGTGTTGGTCTTAAGATCAACAAGGCCAGTGGGGTGCGATGATGCACCTTAAATCCAAGCATTTGGGAAGTAGATCTCTGAGTTTAAGGCCAACAAGACAACCAGGGAGGGCTACATAGAGAGATCCTATCTCCAAATAAAATTTAAAAAATTAAAAAGGCCAGTTGTCATGGCTGCACAATTGTTATTGGTACAGAAAGCAAGGTATTAAGAATATTAGTATAAACTGGTGGTTTAGGAACATCAACTTTTTTATAATAAAGGTTATCAGAAGCTTTAGAGAACCAAACACCCTTTAAGTGTCTGTAGATAGCACAAACTCATATTTCCTTCCTAGTATTAGAAAATTGACTCTAGTTTATTTGGTTTTCCTATGCTTGGTCATTCTGTGTTCATCCTGAGATGTTTATTCATTTCTTAAGCTACTGTTGCTTCATTCACATGGACATAATGATTTGTATGAGCACCAAAATGAAGTTCAGCCTTTACTGTTGATACTGGTTCTGTTAAAAATTCTGTTCTATTTCACCTGACTTTATTCTCAGCTTGGTGCCCATAAACTAGGTAACAGCCAGTGGATCTGAGGGATTACAATGATCCTATAGGTAGTTGTCCTTAGCTTCAGAATTAGAATGTCATCAGTGGCACTTTGCAAAGGTAATTGGCTAGAGGATGATTGGGAGAAGAGAAAGTCGTGGAACATTCAGTGTGATAATAGGGGAAGACTAGTGAATCATTGTGTCAAGTTTAAATACAAAAAATTTTAAAGGCTGTTAAAATGTATTTTCTTTACAACTATTTTAATGTTTGGTTTAGGCCTAAATCTAGACTGAATAAATGTTTATTGAATTATTGAAGAAAATTACTCTTTTGCTAGAATTATTTTAGATTATTGAAGGTAAATAATAAGTACTTTGGATCATAAATTCATATTTAGTTTTATTCTTTTGCCATGTTTAGCCTGTAATTCTGTTTTGCCTTTTAACTGTGTGTATGTGTCTGCCTTTCTGTGTGTCTGTGTGTGTATTGGATTAAATCCAGGGCACTGTCTATGATAGATAAGTGACCTACCATTAGCAATACTTACACATGCTACTATTTTTGACAGTGGATATACAGGGATAAAAGGTACAAAGTGAGTGCTTGCCTTCCTTTTTCCTCTGGCAGGGAAAGCATGTAATTTGTTAAATTTTCTGTGAAGTATGTTTTACACATTCTGATTGAGCAAAAGGTAAAACCGTTTTTGAGCTGATAAATTCACATTTGAAATGGGCAGATTCTACTAGTTAGTGAACTGCAATCTAGTCTGTTAAGCAGTTATTTCATTCTCCCACTTTAAGAGGAAAATCAACAAGCACTGAGATATTTTTGTTTAGTAATAATTGATGTAATGTGATTTTTTTTTTCCCCATAGTGATGTGTTTTCTTTGTCCTAACTTTGCTACAGATGGACAACCGGATATATCAAGACCTTTTGGATCTCAGCCTTGGCACAGCTGTCACAAACTTATATATGTCAGACCAAATCCTAAAACTGGGGTTCCAATAGGCCATTGGCCTGTTCCAGAGTCTTTTTGGCCAGATCAGAATTCTCCAACACTAGTAAGTATCAAAGAAACATGACTGTTTACTAACAGCTTTGTTTTGTGGAGCTCTTTGTTGGAGAGAAGGTCCTGCTTTGCAACTCCAGCTTTGTTGAGCTAACTATGCAGCAAAGGCTGTCTTGAAGCATAAAGTGGTTTTAGCTCCAATTGTTATTTAAAGGTGTGGCTCATTTACAGAAATTAGACATATATAAAGTGCTCTGATAAGCCATTGTTTGCTTTCACATATGGTGTTATGAAGCAACAGAAAAAGGGTATCTTGTTTCCTTTGTAATTAAATTGTAGCTTCCCTCTTTGTTATTGATACTTAGATTGTAAGTTGTAAATGCAGTAAGATTTCTTTATTTGGATTTTAAACCTAATGTAGAAGGAACATTTATCTTTGGGGTACAATTTGAAATTAAAATGAAGGTGGAGAATATTTGTGATAGTTTGCCTGCAGTCTTTCAGGTGGTAGTTTTAGAAACTCAGGTTCACTTGAACACCTTGAGTTCATTTAGTTACAGTGTTGCAACTTGGAAGGTTAGCTTTTAGGGATTTTTTCTAATTTTACTTACATGAATTGTTTTTATGAATGTTGATTGTTGAGTGATCATGGTATATTATCTTTATGGTAGAACAAATGTAAACAAAATCATATCTATTCAGAATCATTTAATTTACTATTTCCAATTTGTTATGTTTTTGTAGTGTCTAGCGCATGACACTTTAATTTTACTTTAATATTAATATTAAAGTATATATACATAAGGGAATTTTCTTTAATACTATTAATATTAAAGTAGTATTAATATATTTAATATTAATAGTAATATATTACTATTATTGGCAATTGATTGCTAATTAGTATAGTAATTAATTACTAATACTAATAGTGATTAATATTGCTATTAATATTAATATATTAATATTACTCCTAGAAAGTAGGTTGTACTTCAGAGATTTTGAGCAAACAACTGTTATTCAAAAATTAAAGTGAGCCATTTCTTTTTTTTTTACATGCAAACGTGTGTCTGATTTTCACGATAACTTTTACTTTGAGATATGAACTTCAACTGTATCTATTAATAAGGTCTTTTTATCCTTAAATGTGTAGCACATGAAAGTAAAAGTTTAATAAGTTTCATTGGGTTACCTTGTTTAGTCTGCTTTTCTTCTCCTGATTAAATGTATGTAATTGTTTGGTTTGCTCTTAAGAACAAGTTTTCTATTTCTTTGCTGATTTTTACTTTTTTTCCTAGAACTTTTTTTGAACTCTTTCCATATTTTTATGAATATCTTCTTGTTAGTTATTTATACTATTTGTTAACACAGACAGCAGTATCTATGGTATTTCATTGAAAGTGAGAGAAAATATGGAATTAAAAAATAACAAGGTGCATTTAGAGGACCAGGAGATGTAGCTAGGCAACTCGAATTACTCATGGTTTTATATGCAAAGCTAAGGAATGGGAAATTTTCCTGTTTTCATTTAGAGAGTATTTGAAATTGTTTTTAAAGAATCATTCTAGAAAGTTACTTGGTTTTTATCTGGAGCAAATTAGGAGGAGGGAAGTTGGTAGGACATGTATGTTACCTGCAGAGCTGGTAATATGGTTTATTTAATATTAATTTTTTTTTCCAAAGATGATGGAAGAAAATCATAAGATAGTACTGGAAAGAACTCTTTAAAATTTGTTAATTAAGTTTTGCTACTGAAGTTAAAAATGATTTCCTGTTAACTGTGGGCCTCTTGATCATGGATCTTGTCTTACAAGATTGTTTGGGGAATTGAAATACATAAGGGAATTTTCTTTACCTAAATATAGAAAATTTTCCTCTCAGGAAAAGAAAATGGAATTTTTAAGACTGGCCTGAAAGATAGTACACAAGCTATTTTAAACCTTCATTTAATGTTATAAAATGTTTGGGTAAAATGTTTTCACACACCTGCAGATATATTTAAGCAAAATGCAGCTAGGCAACAATAGATTTACTATCTTCATTACCAGTCTGAGGGCAGTTTCTCAGGTATACATACATATTGTAGAGCACAGTTTGCTAACTGTAATGGAAGGCAGGACAGATTGTCGGGAAATGGGACGTATCTGCTTAGTGTGTGTTTTGAGGACATGTTGGGAGAGAGTACTAGAAAAGTCTCCCAGAATTTGATTCTTTGCAACTCACTCATTCTCTAAAATTTAGTTTTAAAAGAAAAAATAGAGAAGTAGTCGGAGTGAAACACAGGGGCAGGAACGATGATGACCTTTTGGTGCAACTACACATGGGCAGCATGGCTGAAACATGGAATCTATAGGACATGATTGAGGAAGGCCTTAGAGACCAAAGCAGCGAGGCTTTTATTTGTAAAATTAAAAGATCCTGAACTCCCATCCCCATCCCTTGTGATTGGCTGCTACCTTTACTGCATAAATTTAAGTAGGGAACTACCTAAAATGACAACAGGATTATTGGAACAGGATGACTGGTTACATCAGTTGTGAGTAGCCTAACTTGAGAAACTGAAGATTTGAGTTAAAATGGTAAGAAAGAAAAGTTGCTGAAGTTGGGGATTTAATATTGTCAGAAAGAAGGTGGCAGCAACTAGTACTGAATACGTGTCCCATTCATGTGTTTTGGTAATTGCCTTAGAACTGCACTGCTGTTTTATGTAAGTCTTTGACAACTAACATGGTGAAGTTATTAGAAGAGTACTTTTAGTTTGGAGAGAAATTAGGTATGATGTATCTGAAGGCGGTTTAAGAGTCAGATTATGTCCAATAGACAACTGTAGACATAGAGAAATGAGAAAGTTTTTTATCCTTAAGGTAGATTTGGGAGCCACCAGAGTATGGGTAATTCTGAGGCCAACTGAGTCTTTTGTATAAAGCAATGAAATCTCAAATTATAGCACATGTGTTTTTTTCATAACAGGTTTTTATGAAGGGGGACTATAAGTTAGTATCACGTCCTTTTTTGTTGTTTTGGGTTTTTGTTGTTGTTGAGGTTGGTTGCTGTTTTGTTTTGTTTTTCAAAATTTGGTTTCTCTGTGTAGCTCTGGCTGTCCTGGAACTTACTCTGTAGACCTAGTTAGCTTTGAACTTAGAAATTTACCTGCCTCTGCCTCCTGAGTTTTGGAATTAAAGGTGTGGACCACTACTGCCTGTCTGTAGCATGTCTTTAAGTGTTGTGTTTTTATGCCTCTAGGGCAGGGATCTTCATAATAAGGTGTTAGGTATCTTAGTAGTATACCAAAGAAATAACCAGCCAGAGGAATCCATTGGGAAATAGAGAAAGAAAGAGAACTTAGAAGGTTTATGTCTGATATTATAGATATATTAATTATGTATATATGTCAATAGTTTATAAGTAGTATCTGAATATTGCATATTTAGAAATTAACTAAGGAATGTTCGTATGTTACTACTCTGTATATGTAATTGCCACAAATGAGGCCTAGTGGGATTTTGTACATTTCTTTCTTGGATATAAAAATGGTGAGTTTCTTTTAATTCTGAATTACTTGAATGCTTTTCACTTTAAATTTTGCATTTAACTGATGATAAGTTTGATTTTAAGGAAATAGATTTTCATTTTATGGATTTGGATATTTTTCTTTTTCTTGGTAATGCAACAGAATTTAACATTTTGTTTTTCCAGCTCAATGCTATTTCTAGTAAATCAAACTTCCTAAAAAGACTATGGAAATAAGTGTTGATGAGAGGAAAGGTAGTTAAGATGTATTGATTTCTGGTATTTTGTGTAAATAGTAATGAGATTTTTCTCTTCTAGCCACCTCGTACATCTCATCCTGTAGTGAAGTTTTCCTGTACAGACTGTGAACCAATGGTTATTGATAAATTGCCTTTTGACAAGTATGAGTTGGAACCTTCACCATTGACTCAGTTTATTCTGGAAAGGAAATCTCCTCAAACATGTTGGCAGGTAAATGAATATAGTGAATAAAAATTATGGTGAGATGTTTCTTACAGAGCTAAACTGGGGATTAGAGTGGTGGGTCAGTCAGTAAGGTGTTTGCTGGAAGAGTGCAAAGACCTGATAATCCAAAGTTTGGATTTCTAGCACCTGTGTAAAAGGCCAGGTGCAACAACCTAGCCCATATTGGGGAGTTAAGATGAGGACCTCAGGGACTCATAGGCTGGGTTGTCTGGCTGAAATGCTGAACTTCAGGTTGAGTAAAAGACCATGTCTTAAAAACTAAAATGGAGAACAATTGAGGAAGACACCCAGGGTCAATTTCTGGCTCCATATATACCTGCACATACAGGTTTGTGCATATACTCACAAGCTAAACTGAATCTGTGGTTTGTATAACATTCCCTGCAGGTTTATTGAATCTGAATTTTAACCTTTCTTCTTAAACAGGTATATGTGAGCAATAGTGCAAAGTATAATGAACTTGGTCATCCCTTTGGTTACTTGAAAGCTAGTACAGCACTGAACTGTGTCAACTTATTTGTAATGCCTTACAATTACCCAGTCCTCCTTCCTCTTTTAGGTAAGTCATTCTTCTCGTGTGTTCTTATAGAAAACTAGGAGTAGCCCTATCTTCTTCTAAAAAGTAATGAGAATGCTAAACCTACTTAAGGACATTTTAATAACTTGCTTGTGTTTGTGATAAATTGAAAGTAGATGTACAATCCTTATATTTCACAAACAAGAGGTACTACTATATTTAAAGCTTTAAAATTAAATATTCTAGCTTTATACAAGTACGATTTCTTGTACTTTCTTGGGTAGGCTTTCTGTTTCATGCATAAAACATGTTATATTCATAAAAATCTAAATACATGTTCTAAGAATTTACCAACTTCATTTGAAAAAGTTATGTGTCGTATGTGAATGTGGAAGCAGCAAGTCATTCTTGGGTATTGTTCTTCAAGGAGCCATTCACTCAATGTTGCATTGTTTAAATTTACGTGAGCACATGTGATCATGTGTGTATGTATGTGCGCGTGCGTCATGGTGCATGTTTGGGGTCGGAGGATAACTTGTGAAAGTTGTTCTTGCTTTCTATCATGTGGATTTCTGAAATTGAACTTAGGTTTAGGTTATCAGGCTTGGCAGCAAGTACTTTTGCCTGCTTAGCCATAGCTGGCCAAACCTTGTTTTTTGAGTCAGGGTCTCTTACTGGGACCTGGGGCTTGCTGCTAGCTGGTCATGAGCCTCAGAGGTCTGTTCTGCCCTAGGATTACCGGCATATACCACCACACCTTACTTTTTTGTGTGGTTGCCAGTAATTCAATTCTGGTCCTCATGCTCATATGGCAAGCACTTTACCAAATGAGATATGATCCCAATCCTGGAAAACACTTAAAACATTATGAGAAAGCCCAACATTTGTTTTCAGGCTCAAGCTGGCTGTCATTTTTGAAGAGTGTTGAGAAACATTCTTTCTACAAACGATCAGATTTAAAAGTTATAGTGAAGATATTAGTAGGTATAATTTTTAAAGGAACTATTTAGCAGGATATAAGATTTTTTCCTTGTGTATTTTCTAATGCTATTTCATTAATGTGTATCTTTTGGACCATAATTAACACTCTTTTCACCTTTAAAATTGAATTATAAACAAAAACCTCGAGAGCTAGGTTTACTGCTCTTAATTTTGTTAAGATTTTCTGATGTTAAGTATCTCTTCAGTAACAAAGTAGACTTGAGAAGGGGAGTTTTGACTAGAGGTGAGAACAATGAGTGATGCTGCTGTGTTGTTGACTGTTCTAGACGACTTGTTCAAAGTGCACAAAGCAAAACCAACCTTGAAATGGAGACAGTCATTTGAAAGTTATTTGAAGACAATGCCTCCCTACTATCTTGGGGTAAGAATAATATTGTTAAACAAAACAAAACAAAACAAAAAAAAGTGACACAGCTTATTGGAGGTATTGGTAACCCTTTAGTCATCATTGTAAATGACATGAAAATTGAATGTACAGGTGACATTTAATGAGTGTAATGATGGGGATTTCAGTGAATCTACATCTATTTTATTGTAGAATACTAGAGGTTGTGAGAATATGTGAATAGTGTATAGCCAAGGCCAGGTACTGTCCTAAGTGTGGTGTGTGTACTAATGGTGTTTAATCCTTACAGTCACTCTGTGAGGTAGAAATGACTTGTTTCTGCCTCAGAGGTGGAAGTCAGAAACTGAAAGTAAATGGTCATTCCTAATTCTAGCTTCTACTTTTGATGCAAGAATTTTATATTTCTGTCTAGAACTAATCTTTCTAAGCGGCTCCTAGTATCATTAGAAGATTAATAGCTTGATTTTGTGGTTGTAAAAGTTAAGTTGCTTTGAAAGTCTAGCACAGGGTACTTCTCATGTTAGAGAGAGTAACAAGGGAAGAATCTGTAGATATGTTGACTCAATTGTGTTTAGCAACTTTTAAGACTGATCCCGAGCTTCATGGGTATTGAATATGAGCTCTGGAATTTGATTCCAGGAGACACCAGCGCTTATGTGCCTTCCATGTCATTGGTTATCTTTTTTTTTTTTCTGGCTGCGTCTCATCCACATACATTAAGTGTCTCCTGGTGGTATTTTACTGTATGAAGTGATTCTGAGTTAGTCCCTCCTTGCCACTGAAGATTTTTACTGTTAGATATGTGTTTTAAATTTTTTACCATGCTTATTCTCCTATGTTGCCCATTGCCCCTTTCAGAGCTTGTTTGCTTTTTTCAGCTCAGTCAATGATAATAATAGTGAGGAGCACCACCTGTTGTATGCCAGATACTTTTATAAGTGCCTTCTGTGTATTAACTCATAATTCTGTAACAACTTGTTAAATATCCCGTCCTCCTCTTAAAATGGTGAGAGCTAACTCAGAAGTTGTACCACTAGCTCAGCTGGTGTGCTGCTGAGTCCAGCTGCTTACCCCCAGGTAGCAGTCCGACTGGCCCCCACAGTGTGTCTGCTCCTGTCTTCTAAATGAATATCTCCCCATGGTACTGAGCAGTTCAGGACTTCATTCTTTCTGCCCTGGAATGGATTATTATTCTTGTAATTCATTTTAACTATCTTAAATTGCTTTTTGTGGCAATGACTAAACATTTTACTAAAATACAAATAATGACTGTCGTGTTCCTTTTAAAAGCAAAGAATGCAATTTGGACTGAAGTTTTAAAAAGTCAGTATATCGAACATTTTTAACAAACTTAGTATTGAATGCTGTTTTCTCTTTTCTAAAGCCCCTGAAGAAAGCTGTTAGAATGATGGGTGCACCTAATCTGATAGCAGACAGTATGGAGTACGGACTCAGTTACAGTGTCATTTCATACCTCAAAAAATTGAGTCAGCAGGTAATGTCAAAGTGGAGTGAGCATTAAGAACTTGACTGTTAGATAACATGGTTAATAGTCTAGAAGCTATCTAGTTCTTGATGATTCTTTTCTTTATAGCTGTGCTACTGGGATGAAACCCAGGCTTTCTCACGTGGTAGGAAAACACTCTATCACTGAACTAACACCCTTAGTCAACCCTTTCTTACTTTCATTTTGAGGCAAAATCTACATCAGACTTGAATTTGGTAGTTCTCCTGCCTCAGTCTCTACAGTAGCTGGGATTACAAGTGTGCTACCATACTGAATCTAACAGACTACAAGTTCTTGCTGATTCTAAATTTTTATAATTTCTCATTTATGAATATGGCTTAACTTCCTGTATATGATTATTGGGTTTTTGTTGTTTTTGTAGTTTGACTTTGTTTGTTTGAGAATTTATTTTAGAAAGCTGTTTTCCTTAGGGGAAAAAAATAGCATTTTATTTTGCTTTTGTGTTTTAAAATCTGTATGTTTTTTCTTTCAAAAGTGGAAGTTTCTTTGAACTGTAAAACCTTGGTATTTTATCATTCTGGCTATAAATTCTACTCACAGTATATTCTAGTCAAAACATATGAATATCAAGTAGTAGGCAGTTTACTTCTATCCAAATTGTTAATGCCTTTTAAATTTTCATAGTACTTTAGACATATCTCTGCAATTTAATAGGAATCAAAATGTGACTGAAGTGTGCATCAGTGTTTGCCAACATCTATAAATGTGTAGTTATGTGCTAATCACAATGTCTTCAAGCAGTTTGTTGTCTTGTTTCCTATTGCCTCTGACTTGGGCATGTTTTCTTTAGTGAAATATACTTCATGGTTTATTTGTGATGGTTATTAATAAATAACTTGAAGGAATGCTTGCCTGGCTGCAAAAGTTTTAGAGTTGTGATTATTTTAACTTGATGAGGTATTGTTATTATAGACATGCTAAGTGTGAACTACGATTACTTGATGTTTTAAAATTTTTAATTCAGTAAATTTATGGAAGAGCATAATCACTAGTATCTGATTTATGAACTTGTAGATTGTATTGAAGCAATTTTTGTTTCTTTTTACTCTAGGCCAAAATTGAATCTGATAGAGTCATTGGATCTGTAGGCAAAAAAGTAGTGCAGGAAACTGGAATTAAAGTCCGAAGCCGGTCACATGGGTTGTCAATGGCACATAGGAAAGGTTTTCAACAAGTGCTGCAGGGAATTTCGGAGGATGTCCCCCACAGGCTGCTAGACCTTAATATGAAGGAGTACACTGGGTTCCAGGTTGCTTTACTAAATAAGGTAACAGTCAGCTTAACATTGCTTTAGTTGTGTTGTATTCTGTTACAGAGCAAGTTACAGTTTACATTAACTAACAGTTTGTCTAAACTTCAAGAGGCCCTTTTATGTGGCTACAGAATTATGCTCATTATCACTGAACCATTGAGTTTTAGAATTAAAACAAATTGTATATGGTGTGTTAATGAATGAGCTGATTAATGGTGAAAACAAAGTTTAAAGATTGCTTAAAATTATAAAGCCGATGCTAGAATTTACTTACACAGAAGATCTTAAAGTGCTTTATACTCATCAAAATTATATTTCATTTCAGCAACCTTTCTGTACATGATAGAGTAGCTAAGCTGATTGCTTCTAACATTTTACGGAAATACAGAGAGTCTGGGAGAGCTGAACCAGTTTTGGGAAAGGAATAACTTTGGAGAACTGAAACCACATGATTTAATAACTGAAAAACTGCAGTATGTGTATGCAGATGATTGTGTGGTTACACAGAGGAGAGGTAGGATGATAGGGCAGGTTCTCATGTATCATTTAACCTAGGTTCCATGATAATCAAAATGGGGAAAATCCTGTTAACAGGTTGCTTCAACAATGGATATCCTTATACAAAGTAATTAACTTGACCCTTACCTCACATTATTTGAAGTCATCATAGTCAAAAGTGTAAAAATTAAGTCTTAAGCTTACAGAAGAAAAGCATCTTTACAATGTCTTAAGCTAATGACGATTTTTGTATTATAACACAAAAAGCACAAACCCACAAAAATTGCTAAATTGAGCCTTTTTAAAGTTAGATATCTGCTATTGGGTGAAATGTTGTGTCTTGAAATGTAGGTGAATGGTAGAGTGATTGCCTAACATCTGAGAGTCCCTGGTTCCACCCTCAAGAGTATAGATATTAAGAAACGAACAAAGGAAAACCAAAATAGGCTAGGTACGGGTCGAGAGAAGCACATAACAGCTGATAAAAGACTGGTATCAAGGTAGTTGACATCTGGACCATGAAAATGCTCTAAAGCTAGGTTGTGATGACATTACTCAACAATAACTCACAAGCTTACTCATCAGGTCACATGCTTAGATGTTAGAAACTCTCCCCAAAGTTTAAAGAAGGGGTACTGCTAAGTGATTTGCTTCTCTAAACCGGAACATACTGAGAAACCTTAAAAGTTAATTTGAAATTATTTTGTTGAGCTTACTATAAAATTTCTATCATTTGGCCCTACAAACAGTGTATTTAAGATTGTATCATTTGTCTTTTTTTTTTTTTTCTTTCAAAGCTATATCTAGTTAACTTACATATTTTATATTCATTCTGGTCCTATCCTTCAGGCTAAGAGATTTTAAGTTCTGTTTAGAAATATTTTGTCCTTGAATGTGTTTATGTAGGATTTGAAGCCTCAGACCTTTAGAAATGCTTATGATATACCAAGACGGAATCTTCTGGATCATTTAACAAGAATGAGATCTAATCTTTTAAAGAGCACCCGCAGATTTCTTAAAGGCCAGGATGAAGGTTAGAGTATGACTTTAAATATTTGTTTTAAAAATAGCTTCTTTGCAATTTTAAAGGGCATACTATAAATTTTACAAGCTTATATTCGTATTGTTAATTCAAACAAGTGACGTAAAAGAAGAATCATTCACTAAGATATACATACACATAATTAAAAATCAAATTTTTTATAAAAGGATGATTCATCCCTTATTTTCTATTTACTGTCACTTGAACTACAAATCCTGTTAGCAGTTTATTCCATTTTTAGTCTTCTACATACCTTCAGACACATGGACACATAGAGTCATTGTGTTGGGTTGGGTTGGGTTGGGTTTTGGTTTGGTTTTTTGGAGATAGGATTTCTCTGTGTAGCTTTGGCTGTCCTGGACTCACTTTATAAACCAGGCTATTCTTGAACTCACAGAAATCCACCTGCTTCTGCCTCCCTGAGTGCTGGGATTATGGGTGTGCAGCACTGCACCCAGCTAGTCATTTTCTTGTGCTATGTTACTATTTGATAGTTTGACTCAGGGTAGCCATTTCATGGCCTGTTATGCTATTTCTGTGATTTATGTGTGGCATCTATTGCAAGTCACATCAGATGATCATTAACCCTTGCTGTGACTTAAGCATTCCCACCACTACAGGTTTATATTTATGTTATAATTCTACTTTGCTATTTTCTACAAATTCTGCATTATATTTTACCTAGAAAATAAAATTAGTACTTTAAAATTTACTTTTGAGAATTAAAGGCTGTTTTATTTCTGATTACCCAATACTAGCTTCCATTGTGCAGTAACTTGGGTGTTACTCAAATACCAGATAGGTAGAGTGTAGTTATTAGTGAGGGTGACTTCTGCTGTCGATGTGCTTTCTCTGAAAAGATCAAGTGCACAGTGTGCCTATAGCACAAATGGGGAATTACCAGGAGTACCTCAAGCAAGTACCTTCTCCACTGAGAGAGCTTGATCCGGACCAGCCTCGAAGGTTGCATACATTTGGCAATCCGTTTAAACTGGATAAAAAGGTAACTCTGAAATGTTCTATGATATAATTTGTTTGTGATAGCTGTTGTCAATTTAGCTAAAGTTATTTTCTGGGTAGAGTATCTTATTAAGGTATTAATTTTAAAGTTTTTATCAGTTAAAGAATTGAAATTAATTGAACCACTTAAAAGATGTGTAGAGGAGCTGGGGAGATGGCTCCTTGGATTCAGGGCTTGCCATGCAAGCGTAAGGAACAGAGTTCAAATTCCCAGACCAATATAAAAAGGCAAGACACAGCACTCATTTGTAATGTAAGCACTCCTCTGCTGAGTTGGGAGTTAGTGACACCCAGAAGCTAGTGGGCCAGCTAGCCTAGCATGCATGGTGGCGAATAAGAGACCCTGTTTTAATAAGTTAAAAGGTGAAGACCAATACCTGAGGTTGTCCCCTGACTTCCACATGAATAGTATGGCATGCCCATAGCCATGTTGACAAGAATGCACCTCCCCTCCCCCCCACATGCACACAATTGTATGGAAGTTCAAGAAAATGACTTTTTTTTTTTTTTTTTTTTTTTAATAGAGTAGAATGGTAGATACCAGAGGCAATGAGAAGGGGAAGATAGTGATTCAAGGGTACTAAGTATGAACTTCAGGGATAAATTTTTAGTGATCTGTTGATAACATTGTAATCCTAGTTAATAATGTATTATATTTCAAAATTGTTAAAGAACATACTTTCGATACCCTTATCCCATTGTACTCAAGTTTGGTAAGGTAATGGCCCTGTTCATTACCTTGATTAAATCTTAAGATTTTTTTTCTACTTAACATGTGAACCTGTGAGTTATTCTCCACATGTGTGCAGGAGCTTCGGTGGCCAAAAGAGGGTGCTGGATCACCTGGAACTGGATTTATAGTGTGTATGAGCTTTGGAAGCTGGGCTTTGAACTCAGGTCACCCAAAGTATCTTTACTTGCTATTCCACCTTGCCAAGCTTTGATTAAACCTTTCTATACATATACATAGATCAAGCTATAAATGTGTAGTTATTTATCAGAATAAGTGATGACCATTGTTTTAAAAATTATATATAAATCCAAGAATATTTTATATCTGTTAATAGGGTATGATGATAGATGAAGCAGATGAATTTGTGGCTGGACCTCAAAATAAACACAAACGGCCTGGAGAGCCAAGCATGCAAGGGATCCCAAAAAGGCGCCGGTGTGCCTCTCCACTCTTGAGAGGCCGGCGGCAGAGCCCTGCTATGAACAGTCACATCGGAGGAAAAGGACCACCTGCACCCATGAATCAAGCACAGCCAGGTCTTATTAAACCCCTTCCTCTGCATAAAGGTAGCACTTTGGGGCTTTCAAATACTACTTGCTATTTTGGGGTTCCTAAGGGAAGAGATTTTTATAATAGAAACAGAAAAAGATTATTCAGCAGCATCCAGTGAGTATTGTTTATTATGAATTGATATGCAGTTGCTTGAATGCCTTTTTAATGAACACTGTAAATCTAATGATGTTAGCAAATCTCAAGTATTTAAAAAATAGTTTTGGAAGGAGCATTGTTACTACCAGCAAAAATATGCTTTTCAGTTCAGTAAAATTCAACAACTATTAAATGCATGTTATACTGTGCTACAGACTATAGCAAGGCTGTAGTGATTTCTTTTCTCATAGTTGGGAAGGAAAGAAAGTCATTTAGTCAATTACAAGTATGATAAATGTTAGGGAATGTACTGTGGAAGGAACATTTGACATGAATTAATTTTTTGAGAACATTATATCTCTGAATGAGTGGGAATTAAAGCTTTACCTGTGTTAAGAAGTCTAAAGAGAGTATGCATAGAAATATATAAAAAGATAGCAACTAAGGAGACCTGAAAAAATTCCATTCCAGTGTTGGTACTGGGCATATTTAGTACAAAGAAAATGAAAAGATAGTCAGAATCCAGATGGGTGGCCTTGGCACCTATTGTAAGATTCTATTATAAAGATTCTGTATTTAAGTCCAAGGACAGTGAGAAACCATTGAAAGGTTTGAAAGAGGTGGTAACCTGGTCAGTTAGCATTTTATAATTACATTTGAATATAATGTGGGATATTATCAGGGACAGTATATATGGGAACAAAGGAAGCCTAATAAACCAGTGTTTTTGTTAATTATACATAGTGGCCCCACTGGCATATATAACATCTTAAATGGAGAGAAACCTAAATATACCATTTAATAGAAATCTACAACAGTCCCTCATAAATATACTTGACCCTTCTCCCTTACCCTCTAGTGAATATCATTATGATCAAGCCTCTAGATCTGGTAATCCCATGGGAAGTAAAAGAGACAGGAAAACAGGTAAAATAACAAAAGAGGGTACAGTCAGAAAATTAAGATCATAGGGAACCTTATAGGACCAAAAAAAAAAAAAAAAGTCTGTTTTTGTTATTAAAGTTCATAGTGAGATACAGGAAGGTCTTACAGAGTCAGAGGGAGCAGGAAACACCCAATTGCCATTCATAGGCCTCATTTGGACCCAGAATCAAGTAAGATCAAACTTTTTCAAAAACAAAATGTGTAAAATAACTGAAGGTTGTCAATGCTGACTGGGTAGTTGATGTTATAATGTAGCTATTGTGCATCCACAAGGGCTAGTTAGTAAATGGAGATGATTATGATCTGACAGTGTAGCTTAAGAAATAATAGGCAGGTTGGGAAAAGCAACAAATGTGAGTTTACTTTAAATAGTATATTGGTGATTTCAAAAGCTTTAGAAACATAGACTATGAAAATTAGAAACACCTTTTGGTCTTTGGTTGTCTTACCAATAATACTTTTTTGTGGAGTAAAGGACAGAAAGGTTTAATTAAAAAAAAAAAAGGAAAGTAAGAAGAGAAAAATAAAGATGAGTATGAAAAGCTAGTTTTGTGTTTAGCTGTAAGGGGCAGGGCTAGTGAGTAGTCCAGAATAGTTCATGGGGATGGAAATGATAGTTTGGCTTGAAAGTATTTAAATACTGTCTTGGTGCACCTGGTATAGAAAAAGGTTAAATAAAGACGAGAAGCCATTATCTCCACCAGGAAGGCAAGAGGAAATGGCCTACAATCCTAATGAAAAGCTACTGTTTCTGTTGAACAAAGTGGTGTAGGTACAAGTTTATTAGGATCAAGGGAGTAGAAGAGATTCCTCACCTAGGGTTTTGCTTTTTCTCCCATAAATAGAAAGTAGGTATACTGCTGAGATAGAGGGATTGATTGGTAAAGTTAGAGCTTGAAAGAGAATGAAGGAAGCAGAATATCTGTGGGACAGGGAGAAGGCATGTGGTAGGCTTGCTAAGCAGTGCAAGATCCAGACCTAAGTGGTACTTGAGACCACCCCTGTAGATCTGGCTTCTATTTCTCCAGCTATTGCCGTCACTCAAGTAAAGGTCTGCAGCTAGCAGGCAGGTGTAAAACAGCCATTAAGTCTTGGCAGATACCACACTGTGGGGTGTTAGATCTAGATCATTAAAATATTGGTAAAAAGTGATCTATCATGAGATTAAGCTTCCTAAAGAAGAAAGTAGCTATATAACAAGAGTCTATTAGAAGAAAGTAGAGGAGCTGCTGAGTAAAAATCCAGCTGTATTAAGGACAAGGAACTGGAATATTGCAAAAGGATACACCTCCATCTCTGAGTTTGTTTTAGATGGAAAAAGTGGAGTGGGAGTGGAAAGCTCTTTAAGGTCAGATCTTTGATAGATGATGCTCTGCATAGACATTGGTGCTGTAGAACTTAATCAAATTGGAGCATGCATGGGCATTACCTGGGGTTCTCGTTAAACTTCTTTGTTATCATGAAATTCTGGGCTGGGACACAAAGGAAGCATTTGAGAAAGCTCTGCTGCGGCTAATGCCACTTTGAGTTGTAAGAACCTCCTAGAATGTCAGGAGGACAAGGTGCCAGAAGCATATGCACTAAACTCAATATGAAGATAATGGTGAAGGGACTAGAAAAGTGATAGTACTCAAAAGTGCCTGAGGGTTTTTTTGTGTTTAAGAATTAAATAGAAAATTTGAAGTTTCATTTAAGAGGTGAAAGAGTTAGTGGCTATTTCACATTTACATTCATGAGAAAAGAATTTCTACTCCAGGTTTGAAAAAGAGAGCAGTGCTGTTTTTTGTCTTATTTTTAAATAGGGGAACTTGGTTTTCATTAAAGTAGAAATTATTGTGGTTTTTTAGATGACCTTAGCCAAAGGCTGAGAATAATCAGTAAAGAGATGTTTGCAAACCATGAGTTTAGAAAGTAGAAAGGAGATGATGGAAGGAGAGCCGTGGATTTGTGGGAATGTGTGTTCAAGGAAGCACGCAGAAAGCAGGCCTTTACACTGAGATACAGAACAGATGAGTTCAGCTGGTGCTATAGAGGCTGGTGAACAATCCAAACTTAGGGTCATGTCTAGGAATCTTATTGTCGGCAAGCTAGTAAACTTTTGGATCTATTGGCCTAATGAGCTGAAGTGGGCACCAGATTAATTTGCATGGCTGGGGACTAAAAGGATGGCTAGAAAACGTTGTGCTCTGAAATGTGCCCTCATTGGTGTTTCCTGCAGAATTTTGAGCACTAAACACTGTTTAGTTTTTTGTTGTTTTTTTTCTTTCTGAAGAAAGACAGAAGTAGGCTTAAGATGAAGTAGGTAGGACTCTAAGCTAAAGATGACATTGCTAAAATAAGGTAGAAAAACAAGGCTGAAATTGGCTTTAATTTTCTTTTTATGGACAGAATTGTAGAATTCTGTGTTACTAAGGCTTCATATTGATACACTGTATCTTTGGCAAAGCCTAAAAACCATGTTACTATGACTTAGTCTAAGAATGGAGTTATTTGCAGTAATTGTGTTACTTTAGCATTTTTATTGTGTACTTTAATATGGATCTCACTTTTTGCCCATCTCTTTGGTTTCACTCCAGAAGCCACTAATGATTCAACAGTAGATGATGTGGTTGAAAATCATGTTGCAGACCAACTTTCATCAGATATGACACCAAATGCTATGGATACTGAATTTTTAACATCTCCAGCCAATCTTTTGGAACCATCAACCAATCATACAGAGACCCTTGGTCATGAACATTTAGGAAACAATGACCTCGCTGTTGGTGGATTTTTAGAAAATCATGACGAGCCAAGAAATAAAGAACAAAGTGCTGAAGAGAATGTACCAGCATCTTCACTCAACAAAGGAAAGAAATTGGTGCACTGTAGAAGCCATGAAGAGGTCAACACTGAACTAAAAGCACAAATAATGAAAGAGATCCGAAAGCCTGGAAGAAGTATGTATAATTAGAGACCAAACTTGTTCATTTCTTTGTGTGTTTAAATAAGCAAAAACAAGTCAAGTTTAGTAAAAGCATACATATTATTCTAGATTACTCTTGAAGTAGTACCTGAATTCTTTAAGAATTTCTTACGCAGCTGGAAAACACTGAATGATCTTGGTACTTAATTGTGGTAGACAGCAGGGAGTCTATTATTTAAAGGTAGTATATGTATCTACCATGACAGGGACCCAGAATCTTTACTGTTCTAACTAGAAGTTGAAATTTTAGTAGAGCAGCTAATCTAAACAGATAGAATGAGTACTACTAAACGGCTGGGTATGGGTTGACAGTGTATCTAATAAATAGAGCATATATGTAGCCAAAGTTCAGTTCTCAACAACATCTCCTCAGCAAGCCCCTCCAAAACTTGTGTGTTTGCAACATTTGTCTCTACTGCCAGTCACCAGGTATAAATTACAATAGTAACCTGTATGATGTGCTTAGACTCCAAGCCAAAGTTATTAATGCCATCACATGAATGCAAGGGAACTCTCTGGGCACAAGATTGTGAGTAGTATTACTATACATTCAGAATGTAACAGATGTGTGGTAGTTGCACACTTGTAATTCCAGCACTTGTGGAGGCAGAAGCAGCCTGGATCTTTGTGAGTTCGAGGCCAGCCTGATCTACAAAGTGGGTTCAGGACGGCCAAGGCTACACAGAAAAACTTGTTTTGGGGTCGGGGAAGACTATAACAGACACAGTTGTGATGGTGCAATGAAATAGAGTAGAAAGGACTTTAGTAATCTTGGTTGGAGTTATATGTGAAAACTTGAAATTTAACCTGTTTCAGGTATTAGCCTTCCACTATGTTAGAGTTTAGAATTTAAATGATTAGGATGTGTTCTGTAAAGGTCAGTTGCCTGTTCTCTGGGTGACTTCAAAGTTGTTAATTCATCCCCTAAGCTTGCCTGCTGTCTTACTGGGAAGTTTGGGGCAGAGGTAGGAGCTTGGAAAGTTTTTTGTTGTTGTTTTGGTTTTTTTTGTGAAACATACTGTCATGCTCATGTGTTAACAGTAGTCCCTAAAAGCCTTAAAGAATGGTAACATTTTTTTGTGTAGAATATTTTTATCTGAGTATATCTCAATACAAAGAAGATGCAAGAGAAACATAGTGAGGATTTGCATAAAGCCAGTTAATTGTTTTTCCTTTCCTTGTTTTAAGAATATGAAAGAATTTTCACCTTACTGAAGCATGTGCAAGGAAGTTTACAAACAAGGCTAATATTTTTACAAAATGTCATTAAGGAAGCATCCAGGTAAAGAAACTTGTTTGTTACTAAATAATGCAGAAATAATTTTCAATTTGCATGTGTGATATTTGAATGGCATTTGCTAGGCACTTTGGTTTATGCATGCATTTGATTCATTGAAATGTATGGGATTTTTCTTTTTCTTCTTTTAAGCTAATTCAGAGTTGTTCACTGAGATGGTTACACAAGGAAAATAATTTTATCGTTGGGGGTCACTACAGCATGAGGGTCACAGCATTAGGAAAGTTGAGAATCACTGCCTTAGATAGTTTTTTTGTTTGTTTGTTTCGTGTGGTTTTTGTTTTGGGAGTGGCTTGGACATTCTGGGCTTCTTGGAATACTGAAGATGAGGCTATGCATTTTCATATAAGTTGAAGTATTTAAATTCTTTTAATGAAAACTTTGTCCCATCTTTTATTTAGTTAACACATGCCTTGAATTTTTAGTGTTGATTTTTGAGACAGCATCTTGCTACATAGCCCAGGCTAGCTTCAACCTTGGGTACATTCTGCCTTAGTCTTCCAAATGATGGGGTCATAGGCATGTGCTGATGTATCTTGGATCTAGTTGTATTCCTTGCATCTGTCTTTCTGCCACCTTCGTTGTAGAATCTGGTGACAGTTTGCATCATTTTACAAGTAAAATAGAAGTAGGAATAGAACATCCAGTATTGAGATATTCTAAAAAGTATCAGTGATTGATATTAATAATTTTGTATATAATTTCAGCCTATCTATATTTTTTACTGATATTTTGTGCTATATATCCTATGTTATAGTTACCTTATATTTTGATGTCCTAAGTCTTCAAATTGTAGTAGAACACCATGATTTTTAAATGCTGCTATCAGTTATCCATTTCCATTTTGTACAGACTCTCAACATTCAGTTTCAAAAAGGACTAGATGATACTACAGTAACTACTTCGGGATCCAAATTTTACTATAATGTTTGGAATCCTTGTGTATCTTTCTCCTTTTTATTTAATTTTTGGTGGTTGGAAGAATGATGACCACTCTAACATTGTTCCTAAGATTACATAGCTCTTATAAGGAAAAACTTTAATTCTGTTTTGGTATTAACAGTAATTTGCAAAGTTTTCATCAGATTTGTACAACTTCATTTTGTGTGTTTGGCATGCTTGTGGAGGTCAGAGGATAACTTTCAGAAATCAATATCTCCTTCCATGTGAGTTAAAAAAATAAAACTCAGCAGCTCTCTGATCACCGCCCCCTGTGGGGAACAGCTTTACCAGGCCACAGAGGAAGACAATGCAACCAGTCCTGATGAGACCTGATAGGCTAAGGTCAAATAGAAGGGGGGAAGGACCTCCCCTATCAGTGGACTAGGGGAGGGGCATAGGGAAAGGAGGATGGTATTGGGAGGAGATGAGGGAGGGGTCCACAGCTGGGATACAAATTGAATAAATTGTAATAAATGGTAAATAAAAAAAATTTTTTTTTGAAAGATAGAACTCAGGATCATCGGGGTTGGTTAGGGCTGGCTATAGGCTCATTATCTTCTGAGTTATCCAGCTAGTCCCCAAAAGATTTTTTAAAAATACTTTTTTTTTTTTGAGATTATAATACCATGATATCATTTTCCTCTTCCCTTTCTCCCTCCAAAACCTCTCATATGTATAGATTTCTTTCAAATCCATAACATCTTTTATCATTAACTGTTGTTATATACATATTTCTCTGTGTGTATTTATTTATATGCATATATTCCTGAATACGTAACTATACCTGCTTGGTCTGTATAATGTTACTTGTATGTATATGTTTTCAGCCTCCCTTCCTTGAGGAAGACCTTTTCTTCAACTGTCTGCGTTCCTTAGTTGTCCATTAGTTCTTTGTTTGGATTGAGACCTCATGAGCTTCCCCCATCTACTTTAGTATGTGTCTATTGGTGTTATCCTTGTCCTGCTCATGTTTAGCTGATTCCCAACAGATTTCATGTGTTGGTTTTCATTTTCCTCCTACTTTAAAATAAATCTTTCCCAAAGCCAGTTTTTCTGTTTTGTTATGTAAAACATGCCAGTATATGCTGTCCATTAAGAGGTGATTAAGAGTGCTCTTACTTTTCTCACACAGGTTTAAAAAACGAATGCTAATAGAACAGCTGGAGAACTTCTTGGATGAAATTCATCGAAGAGCCAATCAGATCAACCATATTAATAGCAATTAAAAGAAAATAGAATGTGGCCACTTATATCACTATCTTCTCCAAATACAAAGTAAATACAAGACTGTTGTAATCTTGTATTCATTCTTTGACATGCATTGTTGGCTATTTGAAATACTTAAAAACAGTCTACAGATCCTTTCCATCATTTTACAGTGACCTTTTTATTTTGGTTTATTTTTGTAATGTGAAAAGTATCATTAAGTTGTTTTTTTTTTTTCTTCCTTTTTTCTTCTTTTTTAACAAACTAAAACTACTTTCCAAATCCTCTGCTTGTCATTGGCTCTTGCGTGTCAGTTTCCCTCAGGTTATATTTTCTTAAACCAACCTTTAAAATTGTCAGCTCTGTTAAGGTTGAACTTTGCCAAAAAAAAAAAAAAGAAAAAAAGAAAAGAAAAATTAACAAGTTACTTTGTAATTTTTGGGGAAAAAAGCACATACATTAAAAACTAGGTAATGTTTTGTATATACAGTTATTTTGGATATATTATTGTAAGTTGTACAAATGTATTTTGAAGAATATTTAAGAAAAGCACTTTTGTTATTCCATCAATAAATGCTCTATTTTACTCTTGTGTGGTTTAGGAAATAATCACATTTAAAGTAACTACTTAAAAACATTCTAAGACAATGGAATTTTAAAGGCCTTGCTTTTTAGCATTAAAAAATACACAACTTAATATTTGTTAAACTAGTGTAATCATGTGTTACATAGCCTGCATTGTCTTTTTTTTTTTTTTTTTTTTTTTTTTACTATTTGTTCTTAGTTTTTGTTGGCCATGCCAATATACTCCATTCTTACCTGGATAATGGGAATAGCTATGTCTGTGGCACACTGACACAGACGGATACTTTTTTAAAAACAATTTTCAAAGTAGATGACTTGGCATTATTGGTTTCTTAGCACCCTTCAATTTTTCTCACAGGATTTGGATGACATTCAAGTCTGGCCATTAGGTTAGGGTGTGGTAGGTTTAGGGTTTATCACATTTGGAAATGTCTTATATGTAGTAATTTAATCCCATGTTATGCTTACATGAGTTTATGACTTGATTTAGAGGATCTCTCGGTTCTGCAAATTCTCACACTTAGACTGTTGTTTAGAAGCTGACTAGAGAGGAAACAGACATAAGATGATTATACTCATGTTTTCCCCCTTATTTGCACAGGATGAAGATATCTGGCACTAATCATTCTCCATCCTCACAGGGTTGTACATCCTTACTAAGGATGTGATCCTGTGTCCTGACTCATGTACACATTTGTAGATCACTGCTGTGCCTTTTAGTAATTTGGAGAAAACAGTAGAAAAGGTTAGAATTTTTAGATTTGGAATAATGGAGGGGGAAAAATACTTCCAAAATTATTTTTTTAATTGAATTATTTTTAGATTAATAATATTTGGAAATCACCCTTAAAAGAAATTGTAAATATTTATGAAGGAAAGCATACATAGAACATTCTTGAGATCTGCTATTTTAGTCAAGGGGATTTGAAACTCTCCCAATGCTGAAGACAAACCCTGTAAAGAAAAAGAAACATTTAATTAGACTTGTGGTATTTTCATATGACAATTCATTAAACATTTCTTACCTCTTAGATTCCTGGAAGTAAATGAAGATATAATTTAGAGATGGAATTATCAAAGTAATTGCCTGTATTTACACTGCTAAATTCAGCAGGAACTGTACAAAATCCAGATTGACTTTGTGGTTGTGAATTATGAGTATTAAAGGGAACACTGGAGTCATTTAGATAGAAGTTATATTTAAGTCAAAGCATCTGAGGGCTGTCCTTGGGAAGGGTCCTCATGTCATAGGCATCATGGAATAATGCAGATCTTCTGCCTTTACTACACTTTCCAAAATGAACCCTCAAGTGAGTGCAAAATAACAGGTTCTTCTGTGTCTGTGCTCACTCTAGCTTTCGCTCTCCCCCTCCTTCTCTGTTCTTTATCACTGTGGCATAATACTCTATATCTTAATCCTAAAACTTAGTCCAAAAGTTTGCAGCCTATCAAAACTAAAGCTTAAGATCCTACCCCACCTCAGGTTTTTGCCTTTCAAAAAAAAGTTTCTACAGACTCCTTGTCAGCAAAGGCCAGGGAGGGTATACCTGGGGAATGTGTATTTTTAAGTCTTTGAGATCGTTGAATGATGCTACACTGGACAAGGGGCACTTTCCAAAATGTTAATATTGGAGTTTTTACATAATTTTTCTTAACATTCCCCTATTTGTCCCATATGTTGATTGAGTCAGTAATTGGTTATGTCATTGGAAGACTTTTTTAAGTTTTTAATAGTGAAGGCGAAGGCTTTTTTTTTTTAAGGTTATTTTTTAAGTATTTTGCTTACATGTATGTAAGTGCACCACATGCATGCCTGATGCTTGTGGAAGCCAAATGAGAAGAGCGGGTGGGTGTCAGATCCCCTGGAACTGGAGTTACAGACTGTTGTGATTTTCCATGTGGGTGTTGGAAACTGAGCCTGGGTTTTTTACAAGTGAAGCAAATGCTCTTAACTACTGAGCTGTCTTCCAGCCCCAGCTGAAATTTTTCTAATCCCTAAAGTAATATCAGGAAAGTAGCCACTTTGCCTTGGGTAATGTGAACTCCTTGCAGAAATGAAAAGCCACAGGGACTAAGACTTGTGCTAAGTTAGGAAAACTAGTTTTTGGTGAGACCTCTATTTTCTTTCTCATACTAGAATAGTTAAAAATTATACCATTGAAATCATGGTGTGTGTCATTCTAGTCCAACAATTTTACATGTTTTTTTTTTATACAGTTGAAATGTAAGAATCTGGTATTTGTATTCTAACTGTCCCCTTTATTGGATATGAGCTTTTGGCAATGGCCCTTCTGTTCAGGGTTAGTTTTCTCTCTTGGTTTGAGGGTTTAAAACTTGTCTTTCATTGTTGTTGGGTTTTACATACTCTCTACGCCTGCTGTGAGTGATCAGTGCTGTTTTTGTCTAGTCACAGTCACTGTGGGCTTGGGGTAATCATGGTCAAATACTAAGTGGACACTGTTTTGAACACTCTTCCCAAATAATCCCCAAGTAGATTATTTTCAAGAGAATGAGTACCTGCATCCTTTTGTCATGAAATGTTCTTTTACTTTCTAGCACACATTATGGCAGTATACAAATGATTCTCAGATAAAATGATGTTGACAGTATTTCCTTTTAACAATCTGTGTTAAGCTATGCTAATTTTCATTCTAACTTCGATATTCTTTCCACAAATAAAAGTAATGCCTGATGTTTAGTTAAAGTAGATCCACCTTGGCTTGATTTTTATTAATCTTGTTCCATACTGTTTTAAACACTACTGAGAATTGCCAACAACTCTTTACTGAGAATCTCTTGCATTTGAGGCAGTAGTTGTTGGAGGGTGGGGGGAGATTAAGGAAAGAAAATAATTCAAAGACTATTTTGAATATTGCTGAGTTGTAGAGACATCTGCGTGTCTTTCTATTGTGCTAGCTAGGCTAACCTGTGTCTACCATCTTAGCACAGATAGACTCTTCTGTAGTAGTGTGGAAAAGTTCTGGGACAAGTATTTGGTTTTTGAGAAAGGCAGCAAACGGCATAGAAATCTGCATCATTAAAATACTAGAGTCTCTGGGTGACTTCTGTGATAACATCTTGGCCTGAAGAAACCATCTTTTCTAAAATAATAGGACAGCAACAAGAAAAGCAAGCTTTGGTTTACGTGTTTTCATAACTTTAAGTCTCTCTAGAAGCAGAAATCTACTGAACTAAAAAGAATCAGCATTAGCTACAAATAAACAAGAATGGAAAAGTAAAAGGCATGAAGGAAAAGGGTTAAGATTGTACTATGAAGTAATTTCGCTTTCTCAGATGACAGCTTTAGGGAAATGCCAAAGGAAGAGCTAGGAGAAATACTTATTTGAGATTGTACTGGATACATTAAAAACTTAGATTGCTAGAGAGATAAACATTAATGTCTGAATCCAGCGTTTTAGAAAGTCAGTACCTGTGCTATGTTCTCTCAGAAGAAAGATGAAGGGCCGATCTGCTTTAAAAGCAGGAGTCCGAGACCTCCTCAGCAGCAGCACAGCTGTGGGAGAGAACAGGCTATCTCAGATTTCCTATTGCACTGAAAAAAGCATCATGCAGTTGTAGATTCATAGGTTCAGACCTTGATTTGTCTTTAATCAAAGCATCTTAATGACATATTACTCTGTAGTATTATGAGACTACAAATGGGGAAATTAGTTTATTTTATTTTATGTGCATTAATGTCATCCCTTTGAATTGAGGTTACAGACAGCTGTGAGTTGCCATGTGGGTGCTGGGAATTGAACTCAGGTCCTTTAAGAAGACCAGATGGTGTTCTTAACCACTGGGCTATATCTCTCCAGCCCCACAAATGGGGAAATTAAAGAGGAAAGATACTACTTAAGCATTCCTGTGTCATTTTTAAAAATAATCCATAAAATAGCTTCCCTCTTGAAAGTGGAATGCTGTATGATTCTATTCCATGTTGATGGGGCAGTGATACTTTGTTAAAATTGGTATCATTGGTTTTCAAAAAATTTTGTTTTTAAAAAGATACACAACAGACACCTGGGCTTGGGCGTAAGTGGTATTATGGTTTACAACTGAAGAGTCAACTGGTCAGATTAACAAGGGGAGATGTTGGTGAGCTGCTCCATGCCATTGAGTGTTTGGACCTCTGAAAATACCTGTGGCTGCAGATGTTCTGATGCCGTCCTCTGAGAGCTCCATTTTGGCCTTGTGGGCTGCTTCAGAAACATAAAAGCCATCTTGGCCTGATTTGAAAATGACAAAGAATGTGATTTATTTACATTTTCTGTGCACACAGCAAGTAAAACTTGAGTATTCAGTGTTGCAAGTATACAGGGAGTAGTTGTACAGAAAATTGTAAAGTTTAATTTTTCTACAACTCTCAAGCTTTATTCACTAAATTTAATAAGACCTCCCCCAAATTAGTGGAGACTGAATTCATAATGTTAATTTTAAATAGTAATATTAAAATCTTTAGCCTATATTTCTAAAACCTAGGTAAGGCATTAGGTTCCCAAGGGTATGTGTTATAGAGATTGTATAGCCTAGGAATAATTTCAGTGAGATTTTGAGATCATTTCCTGACTTTTTTTGGGCTGCAGTTTTTAAGAAGACATTGGTGATAAAAGTCATGGTTTGTATTATGAGGATAATCCAGGGTCAAAGTGCCTGCTGCTTTATGACTATAGTCTGAGAAGCTGGTTGGCTAATTAGCTCACCTCAAGGGCTGGGATCAACAGAGATGTGAGGTTATAGCTGAAGTGTTTGTTAACTGTATCAAAGACAAGCTAAGCAAATAAGAATGAGAACTTTGAAGGCATGACAGATTTATATAATTGAGCAGTTCTCCACAGATGAAATGGCATGTGTTGCAATAAAATGTGAAAGCATGTAGAACTGAGGTTTGAAACTGCTCAGTCCTTCTGTTTCAAAGGGAGTGCTAAGTCATCTGGTCTCACACCCCATCAGAACTGAGAGTATCCGGGCTTCAGACCCAACACCGATTTCTACCCAACTCTCCCATTCAGGAATCTGTCCTCTAGTTAGCTGTAGCATACTATCAGTGACCTGAGTATTAGCAGTCACTGATGTATTTAGGGAACTTTGTTTGCTAGACTGGACTGTCATACACACAAAAGGAGATGGCCCCTGAAGGTCATGTGAGGCTATAATCCAGTCTAGGGTACAGATTCTTCTGTATCATCATTGTTATTGAGACAATGGGATATCTGGGGATGGTTATTCCCACTGTAAGGAGCAAGTGTTCGATGGCAGTTGAGAATGGGCAAGACCACAGGAAGGAAGAAGTCAATAGACATTCATTTCGTACCAGTGGAGAATCGTTAGTTTAACAGTACTCTTTTTCTGCTTGTCTTGGAGAAAAGAAACAAGATTCTCTGTTAATGGTTAGCCCATTGAGTAAACAGTGTCAAAACTAAAAAGAAATTTATAAAGAGCATCTTTGCCAGTTGAGGTTTTACTGTCTGTGACTTCGTTATTTTTAAGCTGTCTAAATGTTTCCATATGATTAAATGAGTGCAGCTTCACTCTGAAACCCTTTGTCAGCAGCAAATCCTGTGTCTGGATCATTGCAAGAAGTGGGACTGACTGATATAAATGCATCTTCAGTGAACTAGGTTGAGCTCTTTCAGTGTCATTGAAAAGCAAGGGAGTTGCTTAAGTATCCCTGCACCACACCAGGTTCTCCCAATGGCCCAATAACTATTGTTGCATAACCATGGCTGAGATTACTTGTAGATTACTATGCCACCAACATCACATCTCTGAAGTTTTATCTTTGGTAAGAGTTGGCATTTCTGTAGACTAGCTCGTGTTGTTCTTCTTTTACTTTGTATTTGGACTGAAGTTTGTCCACTTTTTTATGTGGCTGTTGAAATGTTATGCCACTAATGAAATTACTAGGAAAAGTTGAGGGCTTTTCCTGGCTTTTGCTTTTCTGAATTGTTGCCACAAAACCGTTTTTCCAAACTTCGCTGTCAGAATCCTTTATAAGTGCTGTTCTGTCAGCAGGGTCCTTAATTGGTTAAATGTGGGAGATACAGGTTAATGGATTTTATGTTGTGAGTAGGAAACTTTCTTGGAGCTGCTGATTTGCTAATCTTTGCTGTACGTGACTCCAGCAGGACTGCAGTACATAGCTTTCAACCTTGAAGCCACCCTACTTCCCTTTAATCCCAGTTTACTAATGGAACTTTCTGGAAAGCACATCACAGCCAACTATAAACATATCTGTGCCTATATCGCATGTTGGTGTGCAGCATATGTGGAGTTCTACTTTTTTCCCAGCATACTGCCCATTTTTCCCTGGCACCTCCTGTTGCGGATTACCTTTTCCCCTTAGACTCAGCTCTAGCAAGTAGAAATTATGGCATATTCACTTTACTGCCTTGTCCAACTTTCAGAATAATGCCTGGTACATACATGTGTCAGAGAAATGCTCAGTGTATACATCCACAAGGACAAGTAGCAGTATGAGGTCTTTTGGCAAGAGCTTGATCTCTACCCCCTTGGTTGGTAGAAGCCATCATTCTTTTGTGTATTCTTGGTCACACATTTGTAAATCATTGTCAACATTTGGACCTCAGCTCCTCATCAGAACAGGGACTGGACATGACTTGCCTCCTTTCATCTTTCTGATAATGATGATTTCCTTTGGGAAGAGCTAGTTATTTTTTTTTTTTATCTTTTTCACTTAGCACTATGAAATGAAAAGCGGGTGTGTAATATATCATTGCACCTAGCCCAGGATATAGAAAGTGTTAGGAAGACTCTTAGATAGTTCAGAAACCAGCTGTAGTTGGTTGCTTTTTCTATCCTTCACATAGTTCTCTCCTTACTCCTTTCTGTGCAGTGAATTCATGTGCTGTAGACAGTTGGCTTATTTAAGTCATAACAGATTGAACTTCTTGAACTAGGCAGAAATTGGAAGCTGGGTACCCACTCCTGAAAGCAAAGACTAGTTTCAGTGTTGAATTTATACACAAGGAATACCCTCTGAACTGGAGGTTGTGAGTTGTGAGTTTGTATCAGTCTGCTGATGGTTCATAAGGATGGAAATTACCCACAACAAGTGCCTGCCTCGCTGTTCTCTTCAATGAGAGGGAGACTAGAACTATTTACTAAAATGTAGTCTGTAGGAATAAGAATGTCAGTGGGTAGGGAGAGCTATATCTGAGCTCAGGTGAGCTTTGAAATAATTGATTTCTTAAATGATGCCAAGAAGGAGCAGAAATGTTTTTTAGCTGGGGAAGAAAATTGTGATTCTGGTTTTGGGACTGAATGGAAAGGCTTTGTTGGGCTTCCTCAATAGTGCAACGATTGGTAACCCTTTGTTAATTGAAAAGAGGGTGGCTCTGTTATTGGTCATTTCTTGGTAAAAAGTCTGCAGCTGGGGGGCTGGTAAGATGGCTTAGCAGGTAAAGTTGCTTGTCTCACAAATCTGATGACCTTAGTTTTTAATCCCTGGAACCCACATAAAAGAGAAAGGAGACACTGACTTCAGAGTTGTCTTGACCTCCAATGTGTGCTCTCTTCATGTGCTCCTCCTACTCCAGCATGCACACACAATAAATTTTTAAAACCAAGACATTGTGTCATATAATTGGTGAGTTGGGTGTTAGCTCCCCATTTCAGGAATGCTGACACTGTTCAATGGTTCTGTCTCGAATAGGCAGGAGCCTACTTTGAGTACTGACATGAGCGGTCGGGTTATGTTTAAAGAAGGGCATTGGAAAGAATTATCTTAGTTGGTAAGGTGTATTTATAAAAATATTTTTAAGTATCACCAATTCCACGATGTCTGTCCCAATGACTCAGCTTTAATACTGTAGCAAGAAAACAGCCTTAGATTAAAAAAAAAAAAAAAAGTGTAAGTAGCTGCTTATTTAATAAAAACAGGTGATGGTCATTTGTTGACTTCTATATTATTGGAACAAAACAATGGGAGAATATTGTTAGGTCTCATCAGTAGAAGCATGAATACAAACTCCACATTTAGCACATGCTGGATTATTAAGTAAGCCAGATCTGTGAGCCTATAATTATATTGGTTTAAGCAAATGTAAGTAAACAAGTTGTATTAGATGAGTATCATCTAAATGGTACTCAGAAGACTTGGTGACAGGCTGGGGAGGTGGATCTATTGGTTCTGACTGTGTAAGCATAAGGAGCCAAGTTTGATTCCTTGAGCCAAGGGACATGGTGCATGCTTATGTTTGAGCACTGTATGGGTTGGGGGAGTAAGGGAGAAAGACAGGGAAGTTCTATAGCTTGTTGACCAGTCTCTGATGCCAGTGAGGGATTCTGTCTCAAAACCAGTGGACTGCTCTCATTGTAGGTCATCCATATTTTTGCTTATATTGGGACTGATATGGGTGAAGACCACTACTGTTTAAGGGCGTAAGATTGACAATTGAGTGTTTTTCTCAGATGCTGAGGCAAAAAGGTTTGGGAAGGAGCAACAGTATAATAGCGTGGAAGAGAGGGCCAAGAATAGCCTCAGCTGCTTTCCTCCCTTTCCCCCCTTCTAGAACTGGGTACTGAATCCAACACCCTAAAATTTTTAATTTGGATGACTGAAAGAATAATAGAATTTCCATTAGCCACAAGGATACTGTAGCTGAACTCTGAGGCCTTGAGAAGACAACATGATTGCCCATTATTGAAAGTAGAATGTGCATAACTTAGCTGTCCCTTGTTCCTTCCTGCCTCTGGAACATTTGCTGTTCTATTTTTCATTTCCTGCAGTGTCAAAGCATACCTGTCAAATAAGGAGAGTTTCTGGTTTAGATTTCCAGCTAAGCCAGCAGTATTGTCTTGGATCTAATTGTATACCAAGCATTGTGGACACTGGAAATTTTGACTATTGTGTTACTTATCTCAGTACATTTAGACCATAAGAAGTGGTAGAGGTGTGTGCGCACACGTGCGTGCGTGCTGGAGATGAAACCCTAGACTTTGGGCATACTCAGCAAGTACTTTATGAACTCACAGCCCAAAGATGGCAAGTTTTTAGTACTCTGATTAGGTACTTCCTGCCATGCTTTATTTAATAGGTAACTGGCAGTTCTGTTCACTCACATCTAAAGCACAAGCCAAGACTTGAAGAATAAACACCCATTTATTTTCTGTGATTAAGAAGGAAGATTCTGATCAAAATTTTAGTATTAATATGTTCCAGTAGTCTGATGCTTAAAATGGTAACTTTCAAGTTCATCAAGTAAAGGCAGAGACCAGTGAGAATGTCTGCTGCAGTGTTCTTTCCTCACAGATAATCTATAGTGTAGAAACAATCCAGGGACTTTTGAGCCGGCAGAAACTGAGCCAGTGGTTCCTTCAAGAAATCCCCAAAGTAGATCTTAGCATTTCTTTCGCTTTTGGTGTGCAATGGAAGCTCAGTTCACAGGCAAACATGGCAGTAGCATGTGTATTGATGTCAACTATGGAAAAGAAATCGAATGTGGATGCTAGGAAGAAGACCATCTTAGGGCAAGGTCATGAAAGCATGGGAAATCTGAGGAATGGATGAAGGGAAGATTTGTGCCTAGTTCATTACAAAAGCCAGGAGGAATTAAAGGCAACTAGGAAGGAAAAGGGTAGATGATGCTTGTTTGACAGCAGAGTGTAGCCGGTATATGCTGCTTTATGGGTTCCTTTCTCTCTTCCACCCTTCTCCACCCCTTTAGCTCTTCCCTTTCAACCCCTTAACACTGGATAGGGGAGAAAAAAAGAGTAGTGGAGAAAAGGGGGCATCATTCTCTTGAGATTACTTTGTTGATTAAAGGTACCAAAGTTCCTTGGGGCAGGTTTGATCTCCACAGTCAGAATGTCCAGTTTCTTCTCATCTTTTTTTGGAACAGCTGCTTGACAAACTTCAACCAACAGCATTCAACCACCAACTTGCCACCAACATATTGGGACTCTTATAATTTATATTACCCCTGAAAAGTCCCCAGAATTCCAAACATCACTTGCAGAAACTATCTGCAGCTGGCAAAACCATGCCCCTGCCAAGGCATGAGTCAAGTCATAATCAGCTGCTGTGAAGCAGTCCCATATTCCTACACCTGGGATTAAAAGGAAAACATTCCCATAACATTTCTGTGTTTTATTATTATTATTATTATTATTATTATTATTTTATTTATTTTTTTTTTAGGAAACCAAAATTACAAAATTCTCACTATAGCAGAGGGTATAATGAAGGTCTGGTGCTGCCTACAGTGTTCATGAGAGTCTGGTCATGGAAGAGGGAGGATTCTTTTGCATCCTGTGCCACTTGCCCCAATGTGAAGTGGTTTCCAAAAGCCATGCCCTAAGGAGCACCCCCTGCCCACCAGTTTTAATCTAAAATTGACTTACCAAGAAGCACCACATTCTAACAAAGCCAACCACTTTATGTGTTTACTGTCAAAAACTATGGAAACAATAAAGATCACTTAATCAGAGTATAACAGAACTGTCCCAAACATAATGCCTCTTAAAGATTGGAAGAATTGAAAAATCATTACCTGAAATTCCTTTCAAGTTAGCTTTGAGTGGGTCAAAAAGATCAGTGATACCCCATGATCTTAAAATGCTTTTTAAGTCAAACTGGTTTTCAATCCTAAACCTGCAAAACAGAAGCCAGATATCAGTTATTTAGAATTCATACTATTCTCCTACATACTGCATGTAGTATAAGGCTATAACGAGGCCAGTGTACACTGGGCCACTACCCCACTGTATTTTTCATTTCCCTTGAATCATAACACTGGGACTAACCTGACTCCCAGCTTTGTCTATGCTGCTCGTTTGTCATGGCCCTGTTTCTCTTGACTGCCTTTAAGTAACAGTTCATTCCTCAGCTGTTGCTGTTCTATTCAGCTGTTTTCTGACTTCTTCAAAATGGTACTGTAATGCCAGCATCACGGGACCCTCAGAGACCACCAGGAGACGACTCGATGCAATAGCAAGAGAGCTTTATTACAAGAGCGATCGAACTCAGGACCCAAGTCTCACTGACACAGCAGTAGAGAAGTGGGACTTCGAGCCCTGAGTGTGCAGGGTTTTTAAAGGAAAAGTCTGTGAGCAGGGGGTTTCATGCCTTCACGTAAAAGTTAGAGGGGCGAGGTGATTTCCTCTGAGGCACATAATCACAATTGCTATTCTTCTAAACTATATCTGAAACATTGGGGAGCCAATTCCCAACCGATTCTCATTGATTATTGCCGGGGAGATTGTCTCTATTTTCTATGAGGTATTTATTCTGTGATATTTCCTGGCAGCTGTTGCTAGTAGAGTTAACTTTGTTTTCTGCCAAGTGTACATTCTGTGATATTTCCTGGTACCTGAATTCAGCTCCCAGTAAAGATGGCTCTTTATTTCAAAATGGAGTTATACCCAGGCTAACTTAAACTTTTCAGTACTAGAGATAGGATCCGGAGCCTCCCACATATTAGGAAAAAACATTTAATTGAGCTCCACCACCAGCCTTTGTGACTCCTGGTTCTTAAAGCCCGATTTCCATAGCTGTACTCAAGGTACTCAGAACCTATTAATATTCTTTATGATACCATAAATGACCTAGAATTACCTTAAGTCATTTTTATGAATTTTAATAAAATATATAAATTAAAATAATTAGTAAGTGGTGACACTGTGTTAGACACTATGATGAGAGCATCATAGAAATTATTTCATCTTCATATAATGGCTATTACTCCTTATGCAGCAGATGGAAAATTTAAGGCATAAACTGTTTTAAAAACCTGCTCAAGATGACCCAATGAGTATGTGGTGCACCTCAGTTCAAATCTGGACTATGGGAATGCAGAGCCCAGCCAGGCTCACTTGCACTTTACTCTTCACATTTGGTTAGAATCTCACACATAGTAGATGCAAAAATAATAATAATAATAAATATATATATATATATATATATAGTATCTTGTACAGTACCTTATATAGCTTTCTGTACTGTGTAACACATTTTCATGTTTGCTGTTTGCAATATGTGCCTTTGATGTGCAACAGAGAAGGAACTCGGTCTTGGTTTGCCCAGTAAACCATTGAAAACAGAAAGAATCAGCACAGCAAAATTTTCCCAGGACAAAGCGTTTTACACTTTCCAGTGAAGACACAAGCCTTCTGTAGTGAGAATTCTGGAAATTTGGTTTCTTTAAAAGCACAGAAATATGCTGGGGCCTTGGTGGCCCATGCCTTTGATTCCAGTACTTGGAAGGCAGAAGCTGGCGGATCCCAACCAAACAAAAAATCCCAGAAATATTGTAAAAATGTGTTCTTGTTTTAATCCCAGGTGTGGGGTGCATCGTGCTCTAACAGAGGCATGATTTTGCCAGCTGCAGATAGTTTCTGAAAGTGTGTGATGTTTGGAATTCTGGGAATTTTTCAGAGGGTATATAAATGCTAGAGCCCTGGTAGTTGGCATGGATGGTTGTTGATCGGTCGGGGAAGTTGGTTGGTTGCAGTTTGTTAGTAGTCTTGCTTGTGGAAAAACCAAGAAGAAAGTAATTAGATTCAGAGCTCTCTCTCTCTATCCTTCCTTCTCTCCTGTCTAGTAATAGGGTGTGAAACGGGGGCGGGGGTTAAAGAGTGAAAGAAAGAAAAACCCACCAAGTAACAAAGACAAGTTGCACCTCAAGATGGGGCTTGAAAGTTAAGTATAAAAATGGGAAATCTGATTTCAAATGCCGTACAGTAAGTAGCAGGGGACAAAAGAACGGATTTTTTTTTCAAGATAAAGCAAAGAATTTTATTGCAGCTGCTTCCACTAGGATACCCCCACCTCCCCACCCCCACCATGCTCCCAGAGGAGATTTTCTGGATTTTGTTTGTTTTTTCATATATTCTGTTTTTAAAGTTTGAAAGACTGGCTGAGCAGTTAAAAAAAAATTGCAGATGGAAATGGAGGGGCCAGAGAACTGAAAAATGGCTGAAATGGGAAAACAAAAGGGGTCACTATACTCTCCCTTTTCTGAAAGGGTTGCAGAATTGGCAGTGCAACTGAAGGGGTTGCGGGTGGAGATGAAGTACTTGGGAGGAGAGGAGCACGGGAAAAGGGAGAACAAAAAAGGCCCAGTCCTGGTGACTATGCGAGGAAAGGGAAGGAAACTGAGCTGGGGTGTGGGTCAGAGAAAAGCTGAAAAGGCAGGAGGACAAACTGATGAAACAGTTTTGAGATAAAGGGTTAATCTGGAACCAACAGTGCTGTCAGAGTAGGAGGAGGGGTGGCCCGGGGTTAACCGGCAGCTTTCCCAGGAGTCTAAGACATATGCCTGCCAGTGATGTGGAACAAGGTTATGACATAGCTAGAGGTCTCACCAGGAACTTCTCACTTTACAGACTCATTGCCAAGCGACTTTACCTCTCTTTCCTTACTGTCTTTGAGAAAAAAAGCACATGAGGGATGTGTTGTAATAAATAAAAAATGAGTGTTGGGCTATATAATGTTTATTATTAGCCCTAAGATTATGACGGCTGTATTATTTAACCCGCTATCACAAATAATAAGACACAGACACCTGTTAGGTTTTACAATTGCTTTATTTGCCTTGGGCCAGGCAGATATTCCTGCCTACGCTGCCTAAATAACCTCACCATGCATCTCCCAGCCCCATCCAATACCATCTGCCTTAACCATCCTCATCTGGTCTACCTTTCATCCATAATCTCATGGGCCTTGCTTGTATTCTTCATCTGGGCATTTTCATGCCATTATTGGAGTCCTTCCTCTTGGCCCACGTGGTTTTCCTCTCCACACTAACCCATTGTGGCATCCTCCTTCCTCCACTCTTCCCATCCATCTGTTTCCCTTAATTGTAATTCCGGTGATCCTCTTGAACCTGAAGCCCAAGAATTTAGCCATACCTATCCCACTCTGCCCTGCCCAGGGATAGGCTGTTTAATCAACCAATCAGGTATGTTTTAGGCATGTTTCCAAAACAAGGATTGGTGAAACCAGATCTTGAGCGCATGCATTAGAACAATTCCCAACAGGATGCTCAATGAAAATTCTTGTAGTGTACAGTACAGTGCTCAGCATAGCCTATGTATTTAGCATTGTGTTTTGACTGTGGTTTCTCAATAATATTAAGAAAGTTAAAATCTGTTTGAAACCAAAGAGGTGGTGGGTGATAAAACTGAATCATATCATGTCTTACTAAAGTAAATGCAACAAAAGTGAGGTCTGATTTCAAAAGATCACAGTGATGTTCCTGTTATGAAAGCAGAAGTAGAAGAAATGAAATGAAATGAAAGTAACTCAAGTAAACCACAACCAGGAAAGCTGCTTATCCCTTACAGAAAGGGTATTACAAGAAAATGAAGCCATATTTCATATGAATTCTCAACAACGTGGTAGGGATTGACTTAAAATGAGTTAGGTCCAAACTGAATCTGGCATTATATAAACCCTGCCATGACCAAGTAGGATTTATTAGAAGAATGCAAGACGTGAGGCTGGAGAGATGGCTCAGCCATTAAAGGCTAGGTTCACAACCAAAACTATAAGAATGCAAGATGTGTTTGCGACATGAAAATAAGCTGGCACATGTGTTAATAAAGGAAGGGATTAAGATCACATGGTTATCTCAACAGATGCAGAAAAGGCTTTTGGCAAAATCTACCACCTTTTCATGATTAGAAATCAACAGGACTTGGGGCTATGTTCAGTGATAGAGCCTAGCTTGCTTAAACCTTGCCACTGAAAACACCAAAAAAACAATGCCCAAACAAAAAGCTCAAAAGGCATCAAATACTCAGCCAATTTGGGACATAAAGTAACTCAAGATGATTAAGAGTGCTTCCAAAACCTCCGGATCTCACATATTTTCTTCAAATTTCCCATCTAGAGTCAAGAACAAGACAAGGATATCCACTTTCACCACATCTAGTTGGCCTTGTGCACGAGGGTAGGAAAGTCACAAGACAGATAACTCAAAAGCATCCACATTCAAGAGGAAGTAAAAGCTCAGTAATACAGCATTTCCCTACCATGCAAAAGGCCCTGAGTCAAATCCCAAGCACCATGACAAAACAAAAGTTGTAAAATAAAATATAGTTTAAAAAAAAAGGGAATAAGTGACTATATGACATGATTTGGTCTTATGTGTAGGAAATACTGAAGAACACTAAAAATAACTTACTAGAGCTAATTTGAGGTACACTATCATATGAAAATCAATGGCATTTCTAATATTATCAATGTGAAAATGAAATTAAGAAAATAATTCCATTTCTAATTCACCAAAAATGAGCCAAATTACTTAGAAATAGATTAAGTAAAAAAGCGTGAGACATGAATACCTAGAAAGAAGCACAAAACATTGTCAAGAGAAACAGTGAAGTGAACAGAAGGCATCCAAAGCTCACAGCACTCACTGGCTGGCCAACACACTGAACATCCCTGTGCCCAACGCCAACTGCTTGTTTGGGACAGAAATGGTAAGCTGATCTTAAAATTAATGAGTAAGACACTCCTTAGGAAGAAGAAAATAAAGTTAGACTCACTTCCTATTTTCTAGACTGACTGGTGTTCTATGATTCACAACAACACACTACTACAGGAAACAAACCCATACATTTGGCAATTAATTTTGACAACGACGGTAAGAAAATAAAACGGAGGAAAGAATGATCCTTTCAACAAGTGCTACAGGACACTGGACCACTCACGTACAAAACACGTGAAGACCTGGCCTCCATTACACCAAATGCAGCTGACTCTCAAATAACATGGGCTTCGCCTGCATGGGTCTGCTTAACACAGATTTTTCTTTTCTTTTTGGAAAATTTGTAACAATTTGATAACATCACATAGCCTAGAAAAATAACACTGTAGGGGAAGGTATGTCATGAACACATAAAACTTATGGTCTGATTTGTCATTTACTACTAGAAGATATGTACAAACCTGTTAGAATAAGTTAAGTGTGACATGCACTTAGAAACTGCATGTGGCAGTTTCTGAATGTGAGCAGACACAAAGATGCTGTGTGGAGTCATAACTGCGTAAGTTTAACCCAGTGTATTACACCCGTGTGATCATTTTACAGCTGCTTCTGTTGAACATCTGAAGGGCCCCCACTATGCCGTGGTGACATGGTCCACTGTGGGCCTCACTTATTTTTGACCATACATGATACATGTCACACACCGAAGAAATATTGTGTAACTACTTGCTATTGGGATAAGAGCAGTCAAGCGCAGGCTGTTAGTAGTTCCGTGGGAGCCAAGAGTTACGTGTAGATTTCTTACGGTAAGGGCAGTGGTGTCCTCTGGCCCTCAGCTTCTCAAAGGTACGGTAATTAATTCACAGTGGGTCAAAACCTAAAGTACGAGTGAAGCCTATGAAACTCCTGGGGGAAATAGGCCTAGATCTTTGAGAGTTTAATTAGGCAACGGTTTTTAGAAATCACATGAAACAGTCTCTTCTAGAAGACAAGAGCAGAACAATGATGATAGCAATGGACCTATTAGCATGGAAGGGGAAATTTTTCACCGGGTCACACTCCTCCTTTAATCACAGCAGAGGTGGGTGGATCAATGTGAGTTCGAGGCCAGCGTAGTCTACAGAGTGAGTTCCAGGACAACCAGGGCTACACAGAGAAACCCTGTCTTAAACAAAACAAAACAAACAAACAAGAACTACAAGCAGCTAATAACTGCTGTATGTGACAATAATAGCTATTTGAGGAGGAGCATGGGAAGGGCATAGGGAGGAGCAATGTGATGTCATTCCATTTCAATTAAAGGCATATTTAAAAGGAATGTTCAAATAAAATATAGTGTATCCACTAGAGTATTATTCAGCCATTAAAAAGGGGTATGTTAAAACTTTGTGATAGGTGGAAAAATCCCAATACCAAGGCTAGCACAGTGATAGAATAAAATAGTGGTTGCCTACCACTGAGTAGTGATGAATAATGAATATGGTTTTCTTTTTAAGGTGATAAACATCTTTTAGAATTTGGTGATGGGACTGTAGCTCAGTTAGTTCATAGAGTGTTTGCCCAGGGTGCATGAAGCCCTGAGTTTGATTCCCCAGCAGTGTCTAAACCAACTGCCCTGATGCACACCTATGAGCCCAGCATTCAGGATCCAGAGACGGAAGAATCAGAAGCTCAAGGTCATCCTTGGCTATGTGAAACTCTCTCTCAAAAAAAAAAAAAAAAAAAAATAAGATTAGTATTCATGACTGCAAAATTTTGTAAATATACTAAAAAGACTTGCAATGTGTACTCTGTTTCGTTAGTGTGACCCCAAAGTTCTGGAAAGCTTGCCTGTGAGAGTAGTGGTATTGAGTTTCTGGGGCCTTTAGGAATTTGGGCCTAATATTAAATGACTACTCAGAACAGCCCTTGGGAGGTATAAACATAGTTCTGCTGTTGGTTCCCATGAGAGTGGGTCTCTATGCAAAAGAGGAAGCCAGACCCCGAATCTCTCTCACATCCCTTCTTGCCTTGTGACTGCTGCTGCCACAGAGATGCCATCTTCTGTGTGGAGATGGCGGTGCCACGCTCTCAGTCTTCCAGAACTATGGGTTCTATGTATGTGTTTGTGTGTGAGAGAGACACAGACAGAGACAGAGACAGAGGGAAACTATGTAGCCACGGCTCTCCTGGGCTGCTCTATATCCTAAACATATTGCTTACTAGCTTCAGGCATTGCTTTTTCAAATCAATGCAAAGCAGGATAAGATATATCATATATAATATTGTAAATGTTCTCCGTTTTCTCCTTTCTAGACCTAGAACCAAGCACTCTATTCATTAAATGCATTATTTGATACTATTAGTCTTCTCTGTGAGGTATGGATATGATTGGATGATTATGGATATACATGGCCTAAGCACGCAGTCTTGGTTTTCTTGTTCATTTAATAGGTTAAGTGTTGTTTTAAATGAAAGCTAACGATCCTTATGCATTTAATTTTATGACTAAATGATAAAGCTCATCTTGGAGTACCGCTTGGGGATGTTCAGCACCAGCACTCCCACTGGGCTCATGCCAAGTGACACGTAACACCTCAAAATTGCTAGCCATGGGGTGTAGGATCTTTGGGCTCTCCCTCAGTGAAATCTACGTGACGACCACAGAGCACATCGCACTCAGTGGGGAATAAACAATTTGAGGGAGCTAGAGGTAAATTCTTACTCGAAATCTGGCTGTGCAATGGGATGCAGTGCCCTTGCCTTTAATCCTGGCATGAGAAGGCAGAGGCAGGTGGATTTCTGTGAATGTGAGGCCACTCTGATCTACATAGCAAGTTCCAGGCCAGCCAGGGCTACATAGTAGGACCCCAAAAACAAGCAAACAAACAAGCAAACAAACGAGCGGCAAAAGCCTGGCTGTGTCTACCACGGTCCAAGGGGTATGTCTGAATCCAAACCTAAAGCAACATCAACTTTTCAATTTAGTCTCTACAGCAGTGGTTCTCAACCTTCCTAATGCTGATATCCTTTAATACAGCTTTTCGTGTTGTGGTGACCCACCAACCATAACATTATTTTCTTTGCTAACTGTAATTTTGCTACTGTTATGGATTGTAATGTAAATACATGATATACAGGATATCTGATATATGACCTCAAAGCAGTTGTGACCTGCAGGTTGAGAGCCACTGCCCTAAAGAGTTTACAACTAGGCTTTTTGTTTGGTTGGCTTTGCTTTTTGGTCTGGTCTGGTGTGTGTGTGTATGTTTCTGTGTTTGTGTGTGTGTGAAGTTTATGAAATAAATGGTTTAATTTTTCTAAAACAAAAACAAAAACAAACACTTCTATTGGCCTTGGATTAGAAGCACTTGGGAGGCGGATTTTTTTTTTTCTGGTGAATAAATCCATTTATCAGAACAAGGTCATTTGAGTCATTGCTGAGGTGTCCCTCTGTCCTGTGTTTTCAGGGTCCTGCGGAGGGCTTGCATGGGCGTCAGTGTGGTGCTCTCCTCTCTCTGCAGAGCTGAGCATTTCCTTGGGATTCTTCTTTGTATGAGCCACTCATGTGAAACGGCAAATTCTTCACCTGGCGGCGCTTGCTCTCCAGGCTAATTGCAAGTGCTCTCTTCCCTCTTGCACTAATTATACCCGTGTGTAACTGGATCAGAGGCCTTGCTAGGGACTGAGCATTTGGTGTTGAGAGATGGGTTTTGTCTTGGGTTTGAGTTCACCTTTGGCTCTTCATTATGCCTCTTCGTTTTAGACCTGGGCCCTGCCTCCTTGTATGTTTTGTTCTAGGGTATGGCTTTATTTTTAACTGCCTGAGGGAGCACTGCCAAGGCCTTTGATTTATTTACTGGGAGCCATGGGCTTGGAATGTGGCCAAGGCCCCAATCGGACAGGTGGGTGGAGCTGCAAATAAGCTCCTGGACATCAACACTGATCCACAAAGCTATGCTGAACCTTCTCTGACTTCAAATTGCCGGACAAGCCCACCATTTGAAAAAGTCTAGGCAGACCCCTTTTGTAAACAATAAATTTTGCTAGCATCTTTGCTTTGGAAAACAAGATCTAGCACTGTCTTTAGAACAAACATATCTTCAACACAGAGACACAGAATTCAAGTCTTGAATTCACTAATAGAGATAGGGTCTCATTAAGTTGCTCAGCATAGTCAGAATCCTTCTGTAGCCCAGGCTGGCTTTGAACTTGCCATCATCCTGACTATCTGGAAAAATCTTGAATTGTTGTGTCTTTTTCTGTTTGGTTTGGTTTTTGTTTTTTCAAGATAAGGTTTCTCTGTGTAGCCTTGCCTATCCTGGAATTCACTCCGTAGACCATGCTGGTCTTGAACGCAAAAAGATTCACCTCCCTCTGCCTCCCAAGTGCTGAGATAAAAGGCATGCACCACCACCACCTGGCTTGAAATTTGTGTCTTCATTTGGCTTCTGACTAGAATTACATGTAAGTTTTCTCAGTTACATAAGCCATCTTGTCTCTTTGGTTTAGGGGCAATGACACAAGCCAAAGCTGTACCCACAAGGGTGCCCTCTTCCTTGCACTTCTTCACCCCATAATGGCATGTTTTGCCATTATGGAGCAAGCAGATAGGGACCCGAGTCAGCCTTGTGAAAGGCTGAGTAGTTCACCTTAGGAAGACATAGGAAGTTAACTCAACGCTGTATGTGCCATAATATACTCTACAGTGATTTTAGAAGAGACTCAAACTCTAGGGGACTTCTTGGTTTAAGCTCATTTGACAAGGTAGCTCAGTAGGAAGGTGGGCCTTGGAGCCTGACCCCGTGGCTCTGAGTGCAAGCCACACTGGCTATCATAGTAACCCCTGTAAGGAAGATGTAACCACTCACCTGGGGAGGAACACATCCATCCTGGCTCTCTTCAGCCTGGTGGTCCAGAGGTGGATGACTCTGGCTGTCAGGTGTGGTTCAATGTGATCCAGAGGGGTATCCTTGTCTTGGGGAAGCACCAAGAACAAACTAGCTGCCCTTCCCAGGTACAGCAGCTCCAGAACGTCTACCTCATGGCCTACGGCATCCTGGAACTGGCCTAGGGGTTCCGTGGGACAGGAATTAGCTCTGTCCCAGGAGCCAGGGAAACTTAACAATGCCTCAACCTAGGGTAGGCAGACTTACAAGACAGCAACAGTAAAGCAGTGCGTCCTCTTCAGCCTCAGGAAGCAATCTGAGACTGGAAACTGTTGGGTGACCAGGCTGCTTTACTGATCCTCAAGCCCCCTCTGATCTCCCATAGGGCCTTACTCAAGGACTCACTCACAGTCACAGGGCCTGCTGGGGCAGTGTTTTAGGAAGCCATCCAGTCTGAGCTTAGGGGGGGGGGGCAGACTCTTTGTATTACATCTTACCTTTCAAGAAAGGCTTTAAATCTACATTTCATAAGAAAAATGGCCAACTCTTGAAACACTCCACAGACCCAACAAAACACACACCCTGTCTGGGTTTAACTTGAAGACTGATGATCATTTCTAACTGTGACCTGAACAGATAGGTCTCAGGGTGGGCAGCTGGAAGTCTGTAGGCAAAGAGAAGTACAGGCCACCAGGCACAGTACAGTTGAAGAAGGATGTGATGGGGGCAGGTGACAGATAGCAGGAAGAACACCCTGAGCTTGAGAAGGGTTGGAGGGCTGCTGGGGGGGATGTAGGGAGAAAGGTGGAGACAAGTGTTAGGAGAACCCCACTGCGTGCTCTAGCTCATCCTCAACCAGCTAGCTAACACACCCAGTACACACAAGGCCATCGGTCATCTCCTGGCACTGGGACCCTTCCCCACTGAGGAGCAGGAGAGCCACATGGAGCAGTGGCTTTTCAGGAGCAGGGGGCCTGTTGGTCTGGAGGCCTGTTGGCCTTCGTTTGATCCTGGCTAGCTGCATCATGAAGGTGTTTTCTAGGAGAGGTATTTGGTCCAAGTATTTTTGATTTCACACGAACATGTTCTTAGGATGGCAGCCAATGCCAAGCATGAAACTGGGTTTTCTTCCACATTTGTGTCCTCAGCATCCAGATGGGCACAACCTCTAAGGCCCCTCTATATGTCTCCTGCTACCCTGGGCTTTCCTTCAGTCTACCCACAGTGCACAGAATGGACTCTATGGAAATGTTTGTCCATCCAATCCCGTAAAACAGAGGCCACCTCCCCTCTCTTGCCCACATTGCTGGGTTCCTCCAACTTTATAAATATAGGAAGGAGGAGGACTTACCATAGCTGACCTCTGCCACTTGGTGCATTGCTGGGACTTGAAGGACAAGGCCATGGGCACAGGTAAAAGGCAGGGGCTGTGAGGTCATGGAGGAGAATTTCTTCTGCCAGGTACTTTGGAAAGTCATGGTGCTCATGATGGAGAGACGAGTAGACAGGGCACCAGCCTGCCCCCACAGAGGGTTACCTGGGCCTTCGCCTGTAGACAGAAGAACTTCTATCTAGTTTGTCTATCTGTCTCTGTGTCTCTCTCTGTCTGCCTCTCTCTCTTTCTCTCTGTCTTCTCTCCTACTTCATGCTATTTTCAGTTTACTACAAAGAAACCCACAACGGCTGTGCTACCTGGCTTTTAACTTATTGTCATGGAAATGAAAAGTAAGAACACAGGATGAGAACAGATCCCCGATGACTGCACTCCTGCTCTGGGGCAGCGAGGCACCTGAGAATCTGAATTCTAACCCCCTTGTTAATATGCGTTCAGTGTGGCCTTTCTCCCTGTTTCTAGCAGCTGCCCCGGACACCCCCAGTTCTGTTGAGTCGTTTCCCAGAGATCTTGAGGCACTGTCTCTGCAGGTAGACACTTGCATGGATGAGGCTCTATGACAAGAGAAGACTGCACTGTTACCCCCACCTTGGGACCCACCAATGGCTGAGCTGCATCCCTCAGCACACCTTTGCGGAGCTAGATATGATCAAAACCCCATTTTAGGAGGCCTGCCGTTAAAGTTTCAAGTGAGAACAGGAAGGAGCATGCACACCATTCCTTAGGGACCGCTTCTGTCCTGAGCTTCCAGCTGTTTAATAACCACACTGCTAGGCTCTGCCGAAATGCTTGAAGAAATGTTTATGACTTTGTTGTCGTCATTCTTCACTTCCCAGACGAGAGGAATGAGGCTCAGGGAGGTTGGTCATATACGGCCATCTACCCAGTCACCCAACCAAAGGCCCCTGCATTTGACCCTGAGCAGACAGGATCTACCCTCACCCCTTTAGGGTTGGGAAGGACCAAGGCTTTCTTTTTCTTAAAGGGAAACCAGGCTGTGAGTTGAGAATGTCTAAATTGGATTTTGAGTGGGTCTGCTGGTGGTTCAAGGAGGATATAGGGAGTCACTCTTAATTAAACAAACAAAACTTTTTAACTATCTCTCTCTCTCTCTCTCTCTCTCTCTGTGTGTGTGTGTGTGTGTAGGTATGTGCCCATGAAAGCAGGTACCCTTGGATATTAGAAGAGGGTATCAGACCCCTCAGAGCTGGGGTTAAAGGCAGTTATGAGTTACCTGGTCCATCCTCATAACAGCTGAACCATTTCTCTGGCCCCAAGGATCATTCTATTTAAAGTGCCAGAGATAGCATAGAACATTTGAAAATATTGAGGAGCACAGCTTTCATTCCGCATGTACCCCAGCAGTTCTGTTTTGAAACAGCCCTGGATCCTGAACGTTCTCCATTTATTGGAGTCTTTGGGCGCTCACTAGAACACTGCAGCCATCCAACCTGCATCAGAATCCTGGCTTCGTGGCTCACAGGCAAGCAGGAAATTCAGCCCTTGGTGCTTCAGTTTCTCCATTTGAAAAATGGAGACAGCACCCACCTTCTAGGATCAATGGGCGAGTGAAATGAAAAAATCACAGTTCAAGCAGCATTTAATTAAAAAAAAAAAAAAAGCGTAGCGGATATTAGTCACCTCCACACACTTCATAACAATCATAGCACTCGGTGGCTGCCACCCATGTTTGGATTATGAATAGCAAGCATGCAATAGAACCAAGTGAAACATACTAGGTATAACTTATAATTTGGCCCTCTTTTTTTTGTGCTTCCTTAACCTAAGTTTCCTGGAAGCTACTTTCCTGATCCCTGCTGCATATTGCTGTCACATGGGGTAATTGTAGGTCAAAACAGACAAGAGCTCGGTGAGAAATGGCCTGGGGAGAGTGACATGGGGCAAATCCCGTAGGGTATTTGCAGAGGTGGTAGGCTCTGAGGAGCGCCTTTCTGCGTGTGTGTGCACGGCACCCACTCTTGTACACTGTACGCTGGGCTGCGAAGAGGGAGGAACAGAGGAGGGACAAGCCCGCTCTGGTTGTTTCCCAGAACACCCTTTCACGGGTGCTGTAACTCCGGGCACCCTGAACCTCACCATGGCTTCTGACTACCGATAGGCGGCGCTGTTTCTTTGCCGCCCTCTGCCCCTAGCCTTGCCAAGGCGGATGGTTTTCCTTTACCTGTGCTCTGTCCCGATGTGTCCTCCGTGGCGGTGCGATTGGGGTCACTGAAGTCAGCTGGCTCCAGACTGCTGTTGGCCCACCAGGAGACTTGCTCCACGAAGCAGGGAGACAGGGACGTTCCGGTTTGCGTGAAAAGGGTGCAGGCCAGCTCCATCCCGATGCCTTGACTGGAGTTGTGCAATGTGGTGTAAACAGTATGCAGGAATTCTCTCACTCTTGGGTCTGTGAGGAAGGAGTGTTTGTAAGGGCTTACACAGACCCACCTGCAGGTTGTCTCCGAAGGTGCGTGCACTGAAAAGTTCTTCACTGGAAATGGCATGGCTACCCTAGGCGAAATTCACCTACCCCCGCAGCTGAGAAGTTGGGCAGAAAACATACTAGATCACAAGTGTGGCTGGGAGAGAGTCTTCCTGTGCCTCAGAAGCGGCAAACCTGCGCCTTCCTGACTCAGGGACACCGTGAGCCCTGGAGGAGAGTGTAGGGCTGGGATATGGCAGGTCTGGTGCGCCATGGTGGGATTTCTAACAGGAAGCCAGAAGGGTTCTGTGCAGTATTGTAACAGGCTTGGGCAGTGGCCAAGGAGCTGCTCTCCTAGTTAGAATTCTATGCTGTAATAGAGGCCATGGCCAAAAGCAACTTTGGACGGAAAGGGCTTATTTTACCTTATAGTTTACAGTCCATTACCGAGGAAAGTCAGGGCAGAAACTCAAGGCAGGAGCCTTGAGGCAGGAACTGAAGCAGAAGCCGTGGAAGGATGCTGCTTACTAGCTTGTTCCGCATGTCTTGCTCAGCCTGCTTTCTTACACAACCCAGGTGGGCGCACCCCCAGTGTCCTGGGTCCTCTCGCATCGATCATTGATCCAGGAAATGTCACACAGAATTGCCTATGGGACTATCTGACGGAGGTGTTTTCTCGGCCGAGGCTCCGCTTCCCAGATCAGTCTCTCACGTGTCAGGATAGCTGCCTTGTCCTCAGCATATCTTGTCCGAGGGCTCATACCCAGGGTTTTACGGAGCTAAAGCCCCTGTTCCCCGTAAGCTGCTTTTATCAGGTGTTTCATTACAGTGAAGAGAACAATAAATACAGCCACAAGAAATAGAGCCCGGGACGAGTGTTCTTGGAGGCAGAAATACTGAAGTAGCAGAGGGATGGGTTTTGAGGAGACCCTGCTCCTGAGAGCTCTGTTCTCCAGATGAACAGGAGATGCTGAACACACAGATTTTAGGGGGGATGGGTAGGGGGATGGGACTATATTTACTACATTCCAGAGAAGTGGTTCTCAACCTTTACTACCATTCTTCACGTTGTGGTGGCCCACAACCATAACTTATGTTAGTTGCTACTTCACAATTGTAATTTTGCTACTGTTAGGAACTGTAATGTCAATATCTCTGTTTTCTGATGGTCTTAGGTGACCCATGTGGAATGGGTTGTTTGACTCTCAAAGGGGTCGTTGACCCACAAGTTGAGGACTTCTGTTCTAAAGCCTCTATAGGGGCAGAAGTGAATGGTCTGAGAGCAGGAACAAGGCTCTCCAAGAGGAACCCCATCACTGCTGGCTTCTGCCTAGCCTAGCCTCTTGCTTCCAAAGTAAAAAGGCATAAGGTAAGGGCCTAGAATTAGGTGGTGATGCTAAAACAGGATGCTGAAAGAGAGAAGGAAGAAGAAGAAGAAGAAGAAGAAGAAGAAGAAGAAGAAGAAGAAGAAGAAGAAGAGGAAGAAGAAAAACAGCAACTTAAAAAAAAATCACCATCTTAGCTTGTCTGATACGTGGGTTACTCCAAAGCTGGTGGGTCTGGACTCTGGAAGGTTCTGGACTCTGCAAAGTTCTAGAGGCTGGAAGAAGGTTCACCTCCATAAAATTTCAAACTATGGGAACTGTCTTCTGAATACAGATATTTTAATTTTCAAGAACTCTGAGAGGGCTGATTGCAGGTGCTCTCTGGGAGGTAGGAACTGGGAGGAGGGTGAAGCTGCCTTTGATGAGAAGGAGAGGAAGCAATGTGCTTATAAGCTTAAGGGATGGCTTCCTGGCCCTTGTGGGATAAGGGGAACTCTGGAGAGAACACAAAATTTGGAATCAGCATTCTGGAACTTGAACTTGGCTCTGTCACTTGCCGCTGGCTCAGTTCTGCCAAACCATTTACCTCTTGTGTTAGTCTGTGAAAAATCGAATGACACACTCTGGGGCGGGGTGGGGAACAGGACTATGACTCAGTATGCATTACAAAACAGAATCCCTGGGGCTGGACCACCTTCCTAGCTGAGGCCTATATGCTATAATGTTTTCATTAATTTCTCTAGAAGGACAATGAAAGGGCTTAGAAGCTGGAGCAATTGGAAATTATGTGTTCCCTGTGGACACAAGACCCAGAGAGAATGCAAGCTGGATCTGACTTGATAGCTCCTCCCTGAGGACTAGCTGTCAGAGTACTGGAACTTGATATTCGAGTTTCCAAAGGGAGAGAGCAACCAATAAACAGTCAGTCCTGCCCAGCAGAAACTCAAAAATGACGAGCATGGCACAAGAAACCTAAGGGTTCAGTAGTGGCACTCATTGGTTATCTTGTCAGTAATCAATAGCTCTCTAATTGAACTTAAAGGTCCACTCAGCAAGAGAGAAGTCATCCTTGGGACGGGAAGTCTGTCTAAGTACTGGGGTATAGTGATGTTATGGATCTTAGAGGAGAATCTACAACAACCACTTCACCAAGCCAGCATCATCCCTAAGTACATTCCAAATATCCATTCTTAATAACCACCTGTCAGAGCGAGCAACCAACCAACCAACCAACCAACCAACCAACCAACCAACCACCACAACAAAGAAAACTACCACCAACAAAAACTTCTCTTTGCAATGGACTGGAGACCATTTATAGAACACCACAACTGGTCAAAATGGAGTGCACAAGTGATTTTGTGGTGCCCATGTCCAATTGCACATACGACTTAAGGAACATAGCAGGAGATGGGGCTGAAAGATTGTAAGAGCCAGAGGACCAAGAAATCTATTGTGAGATTGTGTCTTCGACAAATGACAACCAAGTTTTACCCATGAAATCTCAACAATATGGTGGCCTAAACAAGACCAGAACACGCACAACACCAATACACACGCTAGTATAGAAGGGAAATCTCATGGGGCCTCAGCCTTAGAGAAAGAATTACAGGTAACTTAAGGAATGTTGAGAAAGGAAGAAATTGCCTTCCCCAGGGAAGAGCCTCTCCCTGGTTGGTTATCCACTACCATACTACCAAGTGGTCAAGCCCTACAGGTAACATTAAATGGACTGAACAGGTTACATTTAGATATTTAAGTATAGATGTGTATGTGTCTGTGTGTGTATGTAACAACAACAAATAAAAAGAGGCCATGATTTCTTTCTTTCTCTTTCTTTCTTTCTTTCTTTCTTTCTTTCTTTCTTTCTTTCTTTCTTTCTTTCTTTCTTTCAGGCCATGATTTCAAGAAGGAGCAAGGAGGCAGGGGGCCCGCATGGGAAAGATTTGAGGGAAGAAAGAGAAAATGAAAAATGATATGATAATTTATATTTAAATGAAAAAATAAAGAATATATTAGAAGTTAAATTCTGTGTACATGTGTGTTGGCGCACATGAATGCAATGCCCGCAGAAGAAGGTATTGGACCTCCCAGAGCTGGACTTACAGGTGTTTGTGAGCTGTCTGACGTGGGTGCTGGGAATCAAATTTGGGTCCTCTGAAAGGTAAGAGCTCCTAACCGTTAGGTTGTAGACATCCTTCCAGCCCCATGTTATCATTTAAAAGAAAGACTGGACGGCAGCAGGCAACAGGTATTGGCGTATGGTTTTGAGCAGGGCACAGTCAAGTAAAATGGAGGGCGTGATGGACAGGACGCTGAGGGCCTGTTCCTGTCCTTACTAACTGATGATGGTGCCATACGATGGCAAAGCAGTGTGTGGCCCGGAAACTTAAGTGCGATTATTGTTGTGTATAAAATTCCTAACATCTGGGCAATCCCGAGCGGGCTCCCGGGAAGCCCGGATTTCATCATCACACTTAATCAACCAGTTAACTGGGTACCATGATGGGATCTGGTCTCAGATCTGACCCTCTCTTGCATGTGCCAGCCCAACCATCTTGACTTCTGTGAGCCTCTGTTGAAGGCTGCAGTGCCTGCCTTTTCTTCCAGGTTTACATTTCCTCTTCCCGACCAGCTCAGACACACTATCTTCTGGGGAGCCCCTGACATGCTGGTGGAATCACAAAAACACACTGCGTTTTGCCTGTTGCCTGTATTGCTCCCCCGAGACAGAGTTGCTGCCTTCAGAGTTCTCCATGTGTGTGTGTGTGTGTGTGTGTGTGTGTGTGTATGTGTGTGTGTGTGTGTGTAAACCAAATCCCTGGCCAGCTATGGCCCATTTGGCAAGAGCTGCACAATACTTGGTGGATCGCTCTGTACTGACCCTAAAGGAGCCTGTGGGCATGTACACTGCTGTGGTGTAATTGCTGAAAGTGACCGAGTTCTAAAAACTATCTATGATTTCAGCTGTCCCTAGGGAGAGCAAACCTATCTGTTGTCCAGCAGGATTTGTTTTAGCAGTGGCCAGAGAGTGTGCATGGAGGAGGAAAGGCAGTTCAGGTGGCACTCGGTGCCTGACATGTTGAGCGCTAACCTCTACTTGCCAGCTCAAGGGTCCACCCCCAACGGAAGCTGTGGCCAGACTGGGTTGCTATTGTTGCCTGAGCCTTCTGACAACCCTTAACTCATCCAAAGACCACTCCTGTCATTTTTAGTGACATCATTTCGTTTGTTTCGAGACGGGCTTCCTGCCACCTACCAGGCTGGCCTGGAAATCCCGCCTCAGCCACACTAGGTTTTATACTGACATCTTATTGTGAGCTTGAGAAGGGAAGGCCATGTTTGCCTGAGCCTGGAGCTGGTCAAGTACTGAGCTGCATCAGGAGTGTAGGATAATGCAGGCTGAGCTCTGTTCCTAGGACTCTTATTGCTATTAGCAGAGCTGTCATAAGAAACACAACACATAGATATAAGCTGGCAGACAGAGCATCGCTCAGAAACCACAGAATCACGAAAACAGTTTGGTCAAAGGCGAAGTCCTGGGTCTAAAGAGTTTGCGTTAACGTCCGGCCTTGCCCCTTATTGGCTATGTGACTCCCAGCAAGTTGTCACTACCCTGTGCCTACATACATCCCCAAATAGGGGTGGCGATGAGATCACCAGCCTCAAAAGGGTTGCCGAGGCAATCTGTGAATGTTTATAGGGTGTCTCCCACACTGCCCAGCCACAGCAAGCACTGTGAAACTGTGAAACAGTGTGTGTGTGTGTGTGTGTGTGTGTGAGACTCAAAACTGATATACTGCCATGAGGCTAGAAAGGAGTCTCCACAGTCAAGAACAAGCATGACCGCAGAAGTCTGAGTGCTTCACGCATGGCTACACCTCTGCCCCTGTGCACACTGGGAGCCGAGCTTCCCCACTGAGAGCACCTGAGCGGAGAGAAGCAGGGGAGAGAGGGAGTGTGGGAGAGAAGCCTCTTACCTTGCACAGTATACCCCAGGGCACCTGCCAGCTGCCAGCCAGTGTTCCCCCTGGCTCCAAACTGCAAAATCTCCAGGGAGAGGGACACACCAGCTGGCGAGATGACAAAGTTTGTCCCGTTTCTCTCTGCTGCTGCACTCCGGTAGAGGTGGAGAGCAAACTCAGTCTTCAGCAGCCACAGGCCTTCGCTGAGGGGGCTGCCTCCCCCTGCTGAGAAGCAGGAGGAGAGAAGGAGGATGGTGCCCTGCAGGAGAGGCAGCATGGAGGCTGGATGCCTGCAGATCAGAGGGAGGAGAAGCAGAAGGAGGGGTGCTGGAGACGGTGATGAGAGCAAGACTCATCATCTGAGAACTGGGACAACCCAACTCTGCTCTCAGTGGCCAGGAATGGCAACGGCCAGGCTCATCGCACTTTATGGATTACCCACCATGGTCCGACCTGTCTAGGCTACTTGAGTGGACTGGGATCCTTTTGAAAACTCAACCGTGTGCTTGGAGACCTGCTCCTGTGTTTCTTACTGCCTGTGTGGCCTTGGAAAAGTCCTGCTTATATCAAATCAAACCATGCTGTTGGGGAAAGAAATGTCAAAAGCGCATCCTATTCATTATTTCTTGGTACTCAGCTCACTTATAGCTGTGTCACATTTATCATGAGTAATTATGATATTAATCACACTCAAAGATTATCTTATCTTCTATGCTACAATGATTGTATATTCTTGTAAAAAATTCTCACAAACATACTAGATATCACAACTATAGTCACGGTGGCTATGCTCTAAGAAACTCAGTGATTCAAAGGTATGGGGAGAGGAACAGGGCTGTGACAGCTCCTGGCCTTCAAGAGGGTGACATGAAATCTCAAGAATGTTTATGAGCCAGGCATGGTGGCACACACCTTTAATCCCAGCACTCAGGAGGTAGAGGAAGGTGGATCTCTGTGAGTTTGAGGCCAGCCTGGTCTATAAAGGGAGTTCAGGATAGCTAGGGCTACACAGAGAAACTCTGTCTCTAAAAACAACCCTCTCCCCCCCCCAAAAAAAAAAAAAGAAAGAAAAAGAAAGGAAATGTACATACAAAGACTGAATCATGGGATAGATTATGAGGCCTAGAATATTAGATCCTATGCTATGTGGATTACTCCATAAAGAGTAAAACATACAAAGATACAAAGAAAGCCCCTCCTCAGAACTATGCTCTTCTGGGAAGAGAGGACACTGTGGTCAGAAAGTAATGTCAAAAAAGAACAGAGCAGAGTGCTTTCATTGGCTGTGCCAACAGACAGACAGTGACAGTCTTGGCTAAGTGCTTCAACCATGGAACCAGACTAGGTTGATGAGAGAGGGAGGCCCAGTCCAGACCTCTTCCTACAGATTCTTACAAGCCCTGGGCCTCATGGTATTCACTTTAGATAACGACCAAAGAGAGAGGGCCTGTTTCCCAGCTCTTTCTTTCATAGCCAGCTTAAATGCATATGATCTTGGAAAGCAGGGAGTGGGAATTTGTACGGGTGTGTTTGTCTGGGTCATTAGTGAAAGTCTAAAGTCCCAGCTTGAGAGCTCTTGCAGCTTTTATACCCTCCCCCCAGAAACACAGGCAGCCTTTACCAAAGAGACTTTGATGCCCAGACTCTGTGACCCCTGTCCTGCCATGGCTACCAGGCATGAGCTGCATACTCACTGACTCTGATCGAATGGTCGTGTCCTCGTTCAGTTCTGCTCTTGTGTCCCCAGCATCAATATGCTGCCCTTTTTAAAAGGGTGCAGCTGAATGTGCTCCGAATCACAAGACATCACAGGGAGGAAGCTGGCGATTGCCGTCTCTGCCCGAGATGTCTCTACCACTCGGTCCAAATTCCTGGGGCATGGAGGTTCTGCAGGGAGCCAGGAGAAACAACTCAGCTCTAGGCAGCAAAGCCCAGATGAGAACAGAGTACGCTTTGGGGTCAGAGCCAACCATGCCCATCAAGCCTTCTAAGGCTTGTGACCTGGTTGTGCCAGCAAGGAACCCTCCATTGAAGAATTCCACGGTAACTCTGGGTTTTTCTGGGTGCCAGGTACCTAATGCTTCTCCCCTCCTCCTGGACAGAAAACAATAAGTCAGCCTTTGAGCATGACCTGAAACTTTCAGCGATGCTGAGAAGAAATGCAGTACGAAGTCTGGTTCCATCAGGATGGGGCAAGGCAGCTGGCCTCACCTGTTCTTAACAAAAGCGAGTGTGCCTGTGTAACGTGAGCTCTAGAGCAGACGCTGCTACAGCAAGCCCGCTATAATAACTTCAGACAGAGAGGTCCCGTGGGGGTCTCTTTAACCTGACAAGTACACACGCCCCTATAATCACTGGGCAATTTACTTTAAAGTTTAATCATAGATGCTCAAGCCAAGGGTAATTTGGGTTTAAGGATAGTTACAATCCTGTCTCTGTTTCAGATGAAATCTCCCGAAATCTTGAATTTTGAATTCACTATTGTGTGTCTTGTTCTCTAAGCCTAAGTATGGCAGGGAAAAGAAATCTATTTAACTCCTGTTAAAGTACCCAGAGAAAGCATTCCATCCATTCATGCATCCAAGAAATAGCTCCTGATTGCCTGCCGGGTTCTGAGGCACAGGGACAGCTTGGGGGATGTAGCCTTGAATCAGCAACCCAAGCTTGACTCTCACCAGACTCAGTCTTTCTCTTTGAATGTGGGTTTTAGGTGGCCACACTGACAGTGGTAAACAGAAAGCTGCAGTAAATGGCAATGACTTCTTTGCAACACCGTGAGGTTCTTAAGGCCGGACTTACTTCAGCAAAAGTTGGTTAATTAGTTAATTGCCAGTGGTAGTACAGGGGGACATGCTGTGTCACTTCTGTAAACATTATTTCCTACGTTTATGAACATTCAATTCTAAATTGCTTTTGAAAACATTTTCATGAAACAATGCCAGGGAAACTTAAAATGCTAGAAGTATTTGCCATGTGGATTAAGTCTTTTAAAGTGTAGATGAATAAAATTTAAAAAGCAGCTGATGTTTCTTTGGGGTACTCAGCAGAAACTGGTATGCCATCATGGCCTCTGACCATTTAAAGCGTTTGCAGATTGGCTTTCCTCTTGACAGGATAGATATCGGTTAAATGGATATTGGTGATTCATAGCCATAGCACCAAGCAAGGTAAGCATTACTGGATAGTGTCTGTGTTCTCCGAACTTTGTTAGATACTTTCCATTCTCAGCCGCACCTTGTGTGACTACCCGTGCCAACCACATGAAGATACATGTTATTCCCATTTCACAGAAGGAGCAACTAAGACAGAAGAACGTGAGGTTTGAGGTTGAGGTTTGGCCTGATAGCTAGCTGCTTCGCTCTGAGGCTTATGCTATTTCTCATAGCCTCAGTCTGTTAAGGGGCCAAGACATTGGATCTTTTGAATTCCCCCTAGGATTCTAAGGCTTCTGAGAGTCTATCCAGACTCTGTGGGCTGGTGATAGGCTTCTCCACGGCTTTCGTCTCCCAGGGCTGCTCTGGGGTAACTTCTCTAGGCAGATGCTTCTCTTCATTCGGGTAACTCTGCTGAGACCTCCCTCAGAGCCCTCTCTCTCCCTTTGGGACACACTAGTTCTCAGCCTGTACCCCACCAGGGACTCTCCAGCCAGCACATGTAGCTGGAAGGACACAGGCCAGTTCCTCCTTTTGGGCTCACTAGAGCTCTTGCCAACTGCCTGGCTGGAATGCTTTCATTGTCCTAACCAATCTTGAGACCCAGAATCAGCTCACCCTGTCCCAGGGGAAACTTGTTCCAAGCTCCTTGACCAAGCCGCTTCAGGTGTGAAATTGTAGTTGACTAGCAGAAGACTTGGGAAAAAATTTGTATCCCCCAAACACCAGAAAAACAGAGGAAATCACTTCTGGTGAAAGAAGGAAGAAGGCTTAAATAAATTTAAAAAAGAAAGAAAAGAAAAACTAAACCAGTAAACTAACTCCTAGATGTTCAAATCCCAACACAGAAATAAAAATAATATGAAAATTCAAAAGTAATGGCTCCTATTGAAAATGACCTAGAAGAACTCTCAGGCAAAGAATTAAAAATAAATATTAATAACTATGATCAAATACTCAAAGACAAAAGCAAAGAGAAGAATGAAACAAGATAGCTAATCTAAAACATGAAAGTAGTTTCAATTTTAAGAAAACTCAAATTGAAATGATGATGGAAATAAAAAACTCAGTAAGTGAATTAAAAATTCCATTGGAATGCTGGGCATGATCGTGTACTTCTTTAATCTCCACACTTGGGAGGCAGTCAGGTGGATCTCTGTGAGTTCAAGGCCAACCTGCTCTACAAAGCAAGTACAAGACAGCCAGGGCTCTGTTACATAGAGAAAACCTATCTTGAAAAACCAAACCAAACCAAACCAAGAAAGAAAAAAAGAACAAAGGGAAAAAAAAAAAAAGAACAACCCACAACTCAATGGAAAACCTCAATAACAGAATGACCATGTTGAAAACAGAGAGTCAGGGATGGAAAACAGAATAGAGGAATTAGATCACTCAATAAAGGAAAATGAGGCATTTTAAGAATATATAAGGAACTGTCTCTGACATGAACTCAACTGCTGGCTCTTTAACCTCCCCCCTCCCCCCCTCCCGGCAAGGGAGAAGCAGCCTTGCTAGGCTACAGAGGAGGACATTGCAGCCAATCCTGGTGAGACCTGATAGGAGGACCTCCCCTATCAGTAGTCTTAGAGAGGGGCAAGGAGGATATGAGAGAGGGAGGGTGAGATTGGGAGGAAATAAGGGAAGGGGCTACAGCTGAGATACAAAGTAGATAAACTGTAACTAAGATAAAAAATAAAAATTTAATTAAAAAAGAATATATAAATGGAACATGAAAAGGCTCGGGGTACCATGAAAAGACATAAGTTGTGAATTATGATCAAAAAACAGGAGATGACACAATAGCAGAGACATAGAAAATATCTTCGGGAATATCATAGAAGAAAAATTTCCAAAGCTGAAGAAAGAGATGCCATTCATCTAGAAAGAGGTCATCAGAATATGAAACAAACAAGGCCAGGAAAGAAATTCTCCATGACACATTAGAACTAAAACATTGAAAAGTGAATAACAAAAAGGGTATTGAAATATTCAAGGGAAAAAGTCCAGTTGTTCAAGTGATATACAAGAGTAGCACTAGATTGCTTGGCGGAAACCTTTAAAGCCAAAAGGGACTGGAAAGCTCTGCTCTAAGCCCTGAAAGACCCGAACTGACGTCCAGGTTATC